GCACCCCCAGGGAGTGTAGCGTGCACCCCAGGTTAATAAGAAGAAGAAGAACCACAGCCTTCCTCCTAACCAGCTAGCTTACAAGCCACTTACACTAGCTCTACGCTAGCCCTTATTAGCTAGCCTACCAGCCACGAGTACTAACTCGAGCCCTAGCCAACTACTGTGCGTTTGTGAAAACGAGTTTTAGAGCTCATCGCATTCCTCCAGTGTACATATTCTGCTTCTGAGCTTGCCTACCAGCCACCTGTACTCGCTCTACTGCTAGACATAACCAGCTAGCCAACCAGTAAAGTTTCAAGTTTCATGTATTAGGTATAGCCCTGTGTGCCATGCGGCTCTTGAGTCGGGTGCAACCGCAACAAACAAAATATGAACAGAGGACATCTTGAAGCGACGACGCGCAACAGAAACATCCTGGATAAACCAGCAAATCTTCCAGAAAAAATGCCACCGTATTACAACGCTGTGTGCAAAAATCCCAGTGTGATGCAAGTCAAACAATAACAACCATAAGACAATTTAGATTACAGTTATCAGGCCAACTCCGCACTTCCGCAAGAAACGTGGTTTAACCATATGTTTTCGAAATCACCAAAATAAAACGATAAAAACAATGTAACAACAGTAATCATAAGAACTGCGATTCAAATTTAACAATAAACGATATACATAACATGTACGACCAAACTTGCAGCCATAGCTGGCAGCATGACACTCCCAGTGTATGATGTGTGAGTGAGTCAGTGGTAGTGTGAGTGAGTGTATGATGTGTGAGTGAGTCAGTGTATGATGAGTGAGTCAGTGTATGATGTGTGAGTGAGTCAGTGGTAGTGTGTGTGACTGCATGATGTGTGAGTGAGTCAGTGGTAGTGTGAGTGAGTGCATGATGTGTGAGTGAGTCAGTGTATGATGAGTGAGTCAGTGTATGATGTGTGAGTGAGTCAGTGGTAGTGTGAGTGACTGCATGATGTGTGAGTGAGTCAGTGTATGATGAGTGAATGGGTCAGTGGTTAGTAATAACTCTACTCCTCGCACTAACCAGCTATCCTAACTAGTATTAGCACTACCCCGAGTCCCCAACCAACTAACCAACGAACCACTGTTATTGGTTCTACCCTTAGCTCTAACCAACGAGGCAACCAGCCACTAAGCATTAACTCTACCCCCTCACTCCAACCATGTCGCCAACTGGTGTCAGCCCTAAGCCTCGTCTCGTGTCCGCAAGATACAAAAAAATTCCACTGCGCCCCTTTCTTATCCGTCTGTTCCCAGCGAGTCGTCGACAGACACGTGGAGACAGCTACCCCCCCCCCCCCCGCATCATGCAACGCGACACCAGAGACGCATTTGGCCCCGCGTGCTAATTGTCGGCGTGAAGCGGGCCCGGGTGAATGGGTAGAGGCTTTAGCGCAATTATGCACCAAATAAATGATGAGGGTTTCATGGCGATAGCCGATGAAACAAAAATCTCCAGGAATGCGCTCGATCTCACGAAAGGTCCTCGGACCGCTGAGCGGGGTCCCGGGAAAACATGCTCGACCTTGAGCCAACGTTGAGTCACGAACGTTGGACGAACGTTGGCACAGTGCTCCGTGTTCAGTGGGGTTCGGCTCGGATAGAGCTAGGATGGGAAGCCACAATGCATTAACGTGGCCACGTTTACGACTGGGCGTCTGTGAAACAAGTATAACCCGTAAAAACAAAGTTTTTCACTATAAATCCTTTATATGCGTGGCGGCTAGAGTCCTCTCGTCCTCTGGCTTGAGATGGCTGCCACCTATCGGTCAGATGATTGCATGGCAGCATTAAGCAATTGGTAATTAAGTATAATATTTTTGTCCTAGAAAGTGTAACATTTTGGAAAAAAAATGTCACGAACATTAATTGTCACGCACAACGAATCTGTGTGGAAAATGTCAGCTCGATTGGATCACGGTAAGTGGGTTAAAAAACGACCGAAAGATTTGCACGGTCCTAAGCAAGCAAGCAAGCGAACTTAATATAAAGGATTTAAAAAAGCTTCATTGTTCATCGGATTCCTCCAGAATTATTAAATATTCTGATTCTGATAAACAGGTTGTCAGAGGACGGTGGGCCCACATGACTGGACACTGCAGCAACATCCATTGTTGTACTGTACTATGCTGTCACGGCTATGCTCCCCCCTCTTCGCCCAGCGTGGTGAAGCATGGTCAAATATCCACACGGGGTACTTCATCCAGCAGTGGATTTACAAACGCGCCCGTATATGCCAGCATGATTGATGAAAGTCCATGCACGGCGGTCAGCCGTATTCAGTATGTGCATTGCGTAAAGGATGAAGAGTCGAGAGAGTGCACGCTTAGCGGCTGCAACGGGAGATTCTGGAGCGCGGACACTGAACGGGGAATCACGAAACGTGCGTTGGAATGTTGGAAAAGAATACGCGTGGGGCGAGAGACGCACGCTTGGAGTTAAACCAAGAGAGCGAGAGAAGAACGTGCGGTTTAGAGAAAAAAAGTTACATTAAAAAAATGTAAACACGCTTTTATTAAATGTACTAGGAATTGAAGAACTCCACAACTACAGGAAGTGGCCCCGAAGCTTGCCATAACGTAAGGAGCCGTGGTGATTTACAGCCAACGTCAGTTGAGCGTGGACAATTAGACCCAAGCCGAAACATAACATATAAAAATAAAGTTTGAAAATATTAATTTTCATTTTTGATGATAGAATATAGTATTGTCATCAGCATGACATAAGCATACCAAGTGTGCAGTCGATATCACATTGGGAAGTGGGTTACAATTGAGTTACATGATTTGAGGATACAACAACAACGACAACAACTTAAATTTCGATTTAAAGCTTTCGTGACTGCAGGGATTCATCTTCTTGGTTCTTTCGGTAAAGTCACGTAGAAGGGAAATAATAAAATAATAAAAATTCAACATAATAAAATACAATTCTCACGACGTTTCGGCCACGACGCAAGCAGCCGTCCTCAGGTGAAGAACAGGTCTGTCGGAAAGACAGCGTCTGAATTCATTCATTATTTCCCTTCTACGTGACTTTATCGAAAGAACCAAGATAACGACAACAACAACGGACAGAGTGAGTTAAATAAAAGCGTGTAAAACGAAACGCGCGCAGGTTAATGGCACGGCCCACACTATTGAGAGGGGCTGGCGATGAATGTAGGCACGGTGCAGACGACATCGCTCGAATGGATGACGGACGACGGTGGAGATGAGATTTTAAAAAAACACAACGGAGTTTGCGAACAAACCCGTCGCGTTTGTTGGACCAGCCCAGTGTGTGTGTGGATACGTCCGTGAACGTCGTACACACAACTCGACGCTTGTTATTCTCGACAGCGGTGGCACGTGTCGAGTGCGAACAGAAAGCTGCAAACAAAAGACGGCTCAAAATAGAGATGGCACTGCTGAAAATAGAATGCTCGCCAAATCCGAGTGTGAAAGTAACGACACATTTTTTGTACACTCGGCTAAGACGGCGCGGCACTTGGGCATGCTTCAACCCCCGTTTATAGATTTACGTTCCCCCACCCCCCTCCAATTATTTCAAACGTCTTGCGTCCTATATGTGATGGGTCACAGTCGTTTAACAGCTTAACCTCGCAAGCTGCGTGGAGTTCACGATGCCTCATCGTTTGGCGGGGAATGTTCCCATCAATCATAACATCTGATAAAGCAGCTGCTATCGGTCTGAAGCGTGCCTGGTTCTGCTTGATGGAATCCAGAAGGTTGGAACCGGACCAGACTTTACCTTCACATATCGGTGCTGGAAAGCCAAATTGGCTGATAGACTAAACACATATATAATTATATTCTTGGTTCTTTCGGTAAAGTCACGTAGAATGGACATAATAAAATAATACAAATAGAAAACAATGGAAGAACTCCACGATATAATTGGAAAAGCTACGGTTCTGTAAGACTATGAAACAAACTCAACACATCTCTCAATAACACAGTTGCTATTTAAAGGATACAATATCTAACTGGCGATAATTGGGGCAATGCTATATATTTTACCATTGACGAATGCGTTGATATGTTTTATTATTATTTAGTATGTATGTGCGCCACTGCCTATGCAGCAACAGCACATGGCCATGTGTATGTTTACTCATTCATTCGCCAATGACTATCCACAAGCGAGCAATCAATTTTATTTGTTTGTACAATATTGGCTGTTTTGCGATCAGAGATCTATTTTAAATCTGCTAAACCAGCAGTAGAGGTCACATGTAGTGGTCCTGACTGCTGATGAGACCCATAAAGTGGACACCCCCCTCCTGCAGTTTGCTTTCTCAAACAATCAGAATCAGAATCTGTGTTTATGCTAGAAGAATCCGATGAGCTATAAAGTTATTTTTTTAAATAGATGCCCAGTAGGGGCACGGGGTAAGAGTTAGAAAGGTCTATGAGCCCCCCCCCCCCCCACCGCGTTCACCAACAGACGCTGACCAGATTGGTGAAGTATGGCGAACGAACATTCACGGAGTGTGGAAGCCTTCATCCAGCAGTAGATTGATAAATGACCCCTACATTAATACAAACTGTTATTGTTGTATTCTGCAGCGAGGTTCCGCGTGATTGCTCCAGACACTAGAGGCCGCTAAATCCACAAAAAACCTTTTTTTACGATCGATTTTTGGACAATCTATTGAATGACCCTTGGAATGAGAGGCGGAGGGGGAAGCTGGGTGGGTGGTGATGGGTGGGAGCGATGGCTGGGTGGTTCCACGGCCAATAATTAATGTTGAGCGCAGAGAGTTGGAAGTGGCGAGAGAAGGAGTTTCTCAAGACCATCACTTCATCACTTTGGGGCAGGCAAGGGGGGTAGGGGCCGGGGGGTGGGTGGGTGAGTGGGTGGGTGGGGGGCTCTGTGGAGAGGGGTGTGGATTTATCCCATACCGCGAGACTCTTGAGTCTTACGGAAACGCTGACGTCAAAGAAAAGCAGCCAGAAGAAGAAGTAGAAAAAAGAAGGGGGATAACTTTTTTATTTGGGGGGGGGAGAGGGGAGAGTTCTGGCAAGGAACGAAAACTGTTAAACAGCCCCTACGAGGTCGGGAACACGCTCGCTCTTCCCGCTTGCCCGACACACGGGGAAGGGGCATGACAACGCGAAGAGTTCCATAGCCGGCGAAACTTTTCTTTGACGGACGCGTGGCCGCCACCACTCCCCCCCACTGCTCGCTCGCTAGACTCCACCCGAGTACATTTTTTTTCTTTTCTTTTTTGGCAACTTCAAACTGTTGAGAGGGCCGGGCAAAGGGGATATCTTTCGCGACGAAGTAAGAACGGAACTTTTGGCTTGCTTGCTTCACGGACTAACGGCGAGCGTCATCATCTCCGCAGACGCGCATCCAGCAGTGAGTGGCCGCGCGTGGACCATTTTGTTACATTCCAAGGCGCTGGATATTTTCCGAGAGAGAGAGACGCTCATCTCCGGGTTGAGGGACCCTCTGGTCGAGGGAGCTAGCTCCATGTGCCCCGCGCACTAGCTCAGCAGGACCGTCCATCACGATCGCTATGGGCACTTTCCGGATATCGCTGTGGGCTGTCATCTACCTGGGAGCCGTGTTCCTCTCGCCCTGTCTGTCCACCTTCTCGTCGTCGGCACGCTATCACCTGCAATCTTCGTCCATCAGCCACGGGCAGCTGTCATCAAGTCGCCCCGCCAGCAGACACAGGTAAAATTAATAGATTTGCATTCATGGCGCGCCCCGTCTATGACCACGCCGCCCTGAACGCGCTCCTATCGCTCAGAATCTGAGCAGGGTTTTCGAGCCTGAATAGTCGCTCTTATTAGACCAGGTGTTACGGGCTGCGGGGTCGCGCTGTGGACGGTGCAGGGACATCAATGGTTGTACTGTACTTATATGCTCCAACGTCTGCGCTCCCCACCTTTCCCGACTGCCCATGCTGACTGGCGTGGCGAAATAAGGTAACCAAAAATCATCGAAACAACTCGCACTGCCCGTAGAGGCCTTCATCCAGCAGAGGACTTACAGACCTCACAATGAACTTGGGAACATTTCAATGCCGTGCAGTCGTTACCGATCCGGGAAGCTAAGCAGGGTTGAGCTTGGTTAGTACTGCAGTGAGAGGCTGTCTGCCAATACCTGGTGTTGTCCACCGGCTTGTGGTGCGAGATGGCCAAGGAGGTGGTGGACAGCAATGGACTATTGCATCGACCTGTGCGGAGCTTTGAATGTGTTCCTCTCGCATCCGTTTGACGGTTTTGTCAAGGCTCTCAAGTTCCCCCCCTAAACGAAAACAAATTCTCGTTAATCGAACCGGCTAATCAATCCTCGCCTGGTACACAGGAGGCCGTGGGTTCGATCCCGACCCTGATGCCTGCTGCTGTATATTTGTAGTTTGCGTGTCTCTCTCTCCCCGTGGTCGCGTGGATTCTTCTCCGGGTCCTCTGGTTTCTCCCCCCCCCCCCCCTCCACATTTAAAAACACGCGTTTAGAGTATCCGGCTGCTGTACATTTCTACTTGATAAGCCACTTCGTTGAGCTATCATTTGTGGTCAGGTGGCTTCTGAAAGAGAGCTACGTAGCAAAGTGGGCCTTACCTGGTAAAATAAAATAAGTTAGGACATCCAATGTAGCAAGGACCCTCTTTTAAAATGAATCTTGGGAACTCAGTGAAGTTGTCCTGCGTAAACATAGGAGATGATAATATACTGTATATGGCACAATAAAATGTGCTTAAGCGAGAACCAATTTAAAACTAATTCTCTGACACACTGGGGTTGGAGTGTACGGGATTGGCGTTTGAATTTTGTGAATGATAGCAACAACAAAAAACAAGACTTTAACGTTACGGTCCGATGTGTCATTGCGACACTTTAGTCACGTGACTGAAGCAGGAGGAGGATTTCTCCACAACTCTGGCAGTCCGCCTGTTGATGCTGGTTGTAATTACTGGCGAAACGTCGTACTCGGATTGTAAACGTTGGGGTTTTACTCACTGAACTTGTAGCGAACCGGCATGTTTTTGTTTACGTGACAAACATTACTAATTGGCTATATCGGGTGGTGGCGGGTTTAACGACACATATTTATGTAATGTAACCCCAGAAACCCCCTCTATTATGGGCCATGTTTGATTTAAGCAAGGTCTTGACAATTGTTTTGTTATTTGACAAGTGAATGAATTGTGCGGTAAGATTCCGTAACTTTCAGAAATGGGACGGTTATGTGTTCTGTACAGCATGCCTATAATAAAAGTGCACGTTATGTAAGAAGTGTAATATAAATCTTGATAACCCGAAAGGGCTTACTGCCCAGTTGTTTGTTGAGAGTCGGTGGATTAACTGCATTGAGTGAACTAATACACCCATTGAGCAGCCACGATAAAAAAAAAACTAAATAATTGCAAAAGTTATTGTCAAGCGTTTGAATTATAACACCATGTGATATTTCTCAACATAAAATAAATGTAGATTATCAAGTCCTTTTTTTGTTGCTTCTACAGCGTAAAGTACCCCTCGTAATATTAACTCACTTATTGAGTTTGGCGGTGGGTGGTATTGATTTTGCTTCCCATGGCGTGCCTTCATATCCCAATGCTCGGGGTGAAACAACGCTTGCCACATTGGTCTTCACCTACCCGTACTGACCAGCGTGGTGAAGTATGGTCAGATAACCACCCCACCCCCTTCCACGACCCGTGTGGCATGGAGAGGCCCTTGCCCAGTAGCGGATTGAAAAAAGAGGGCTGTCGTATAGCTACATTAGTCATAGTCGCGTTGCTGATAACAATTGGGCCAACATGGACATTTGTCAATATATGCATCTGAGACATTGTCCATCGACTGTGTTATGTACACGTTCGTGTGGCCACTTAAATCAAAGTTCTAGACACATATAACCGATGTAATGTCCTTACCGCGCACTTCCGATTAGCACGGTCGGCTACGTACTGTATGAAAGAAGTTCAACATACATACAATGGCAATGAGATGACAAAACATAATCATAGCTTCGTCGCTCATCCAAGCCAAAGTGGCACGGTTGATTTAACAACTCGTATCTTGAGTGTCTGGGCACTCCAATCACAGCGACTTCGTCAGCGACAGGTCGCCGGATTATTGGGCAGATGGCGCCCCGTAGTGGAACCGACGTCGAAAAGCCTTTGAAGTGCATTCGTTGTGTCACACAAGACAAAGATCCCCCGTATAGCCTTGACAGACTGTAGGGGCCAAGCGCTGTTAGCGAGCACCTATAAAGGCCGACACGGCACACGAGGGGGTGTGTGGCCAACACCACGCCCGGCCGCCTTTGTCTCCCTAGCGGCGGGGAGGCCCAGGACCGGGACCGGTTCAGATAATCGTCACTGGTGTTGGCCGTGAGCGAGAATCGAACCCGGGTCGCCAGGTTCATAGCGCAGCGCGCTAACCGCTACACTACCGCTCCCCACACGCGCGCGCACACACACGCGCGCGCACACACACACACGCGCACACACACACACGCAGACACATTGCGAAACTACAACGTCCAGGGAGGACCTGGTGGCACGCGCGTGCATGTGATCCAGCGCTTTGGAGGCAAAGGGTTGGTGGGTCGCGTAGAGATTTGTGAAACTCCCAAACCCGGCTGAGCCATGGGGTGACCAAGAGATGGCAGTACAGGCAAGTGGACTCTTGTAACCTGTACTTTGAGTGTTTTCCCCGAGAATCCGTGGTGGGTGTTTTGTTGTTGTTTACGGGCACGTCGATATACTCCGAATTACTTGAAAAAGGAATTGATATCAAACACTCAATGCAGGACCCTCCTCAAAGCGTCTCAATGCTCGGCAAGGTTTTCCGAGATACACACGTGACAAATGGCAAGGGTACATGTTTGGCATTGATTGAAAGATGTATGCATGTATGTGGAACTTCTTTCGCACCGTACTTAGCCAACCGCGCTAACCGGGGATGCGGGGTAAGGACAACACTGCTATAGACAGAAAGGCAGTTTTAAAGAAATGAGTTTTAAATGTTGATTTAAAAGTGCATGAATATCATATACATCTCATCATCATCCAGTGTTGTGTCCGTAGACAGGTCAGAGGCACACGTCTCTTTAACATGAAACAGGCGGATTTAGCCACAACTCTGGCTGTCTGCCCGATGATGCTGTTTGTAATTACTGGCGAAACGTCGTAATCGAATTGTAAATGTTGCGGGTGTTACTCTCCAACACACCGGTATGCTGCACGAGTAACGAATTGCCATGGGTTTTTCTTGTTTACGTGACAAACCTTTCTAATTGGCTGTGTCAGTTGGTGGCTGGTTTAACGACACACACTTATACTATGTGACCTCCTTTACCAGTGGCAAAATATAGTAATAGGTTTTTACCCTTTCAACTGGTACAAAAACTGACACCTTTATACAAGGCATCATGTTTGCAATAACCACAACACAAGCAGTCAAAATGCAAACAAAAAGAAACATCTCTGATGATGATAATGATATGCACTGTCCTTGAAGTTGATTGGTCCACACCTGAGACAGCTTTTCTTGGAGCCTAGTCTCCATTGGTGTTGGACCAGATGACCCCAAAAGGCGTACAACTCAAAGACAGCGCACTATCAGACTATTGAGAGCTCGGGGTAAGCAAACCCAAGCTCCTCCATGATGGAGGCACGCTTCTTCCCCGTTGTCTTCCCCTGTCTCCCACTGCTCTCGTCACCTGCACGCACATCCTTCCTTGCATCGACCACGACTTTCCCTCCTCGTGGTATTTTCCCCATGGATTGTGGGGTGGGGGGGGGCGTCTTCCCTCGATCACCTCCTTCAGCTCATTCCCTCCATCCACTACACACGCGAATCCAGATTATTATTCCTCTTCCGAATATACGTCTATGGGTCTCTACGTCCATGGGTCGCTATGCAAAGACTGCGCATGGTCTCAATGGGTGTCTGTGTGTAAGTTTGTGGAAATGTATGAGTCATTACGTAAGTACATCATGCATCCCTGTGTCTTTGGGTCACTCGGCAAGTCTGCGTAAGTCGATGGGTCTCTGTGCAAGTCGATGTGTCTACATGTACGCCTATGGATCTGTGTAGAAGTATATGGTTATCCGTGTAAGTATATGGGTCTTCATGTAATTCTATGGGTCCCTTTTCTAAATCTATGGGTCCCTTTGTAAATCTATGGGTGTCCGTGTAAGTCTACAGCATGCATCAATATAGTTCCACCCCTAAATTCGCCTTCTCTGGACGAATAATCCCCTCTGTACATGTTTAATAAAGCAGACCCACATCTCTTTCCCAATGCTGCAGACGCGCATTATCTCATGACTCGGTGCTGCAATTAAGTGCTTACAGGAATTGACCGCCTCTGGTAATTGCTCGCTCGCTCTCCCTCTCTATATCTCTCCAGTTTGTTTTTGTGTGTGTGTTTTTTTAGCGAGCAGCCTCTAAATTTAGAGCTCATGCCCCTATCGCATTGATTGTTTCTCTTAGTCATTTATACAGTCCCCCCCATGGGAGAGAGTGACTGCAAGGGCAACGCACACTGATGGCTGTGGCCTCAACAGAATCCGATGGACTGACCGCCTCTCGGGGCCTCTTTGTGCAGGGACACCGGAGAAACTCCTCTTATCCGTAGCGATATGGGACAAACAGTATCGCGGATCCCCATAACACTGGTCAACAAAAAAAAATTCTGGCCTGGACTTTTGCAGCTGTTTTAGACTAATTTCAGGGTGCTGATTCCAAATCTGATCTCAGATTTGCTCTATCACATCATTATAATGCTATCGGCATACCCCATTTTCATTGATTTTACCCGAAATTAACTCTGTCACTTATGATTGCAAGTTGTTGCGAGTCAGTGACTACTTTAGTGTTAAAATATGGTGCTGTATGTTTTGAATAGTGTGTTTATAATATCATTTTATGTAGATATCCACATTTATTTAATATTTTTCTTCTGCAGTTTTTATTGAAAATGTAATATTTGATATCTCAAAAACCTGATGTGATAGACAAAACTGATGCCAGATTTGGAATCAGCACCCTAAAATTACCTTAAAACCGTTGGAATACCTTATGCCAGAAAAAGTGTGTTGACCAGTGTTATCTGCTCCATTTATCCGTGGGGACATTGTTGTTGATGATCGCGGATACGAGGAAGAATTAGGAGCCACTGGGAGCAGACGCTATCTTTCTGACAGCTCTATTTCTTCACCTGAGTACGGCTGCTTGTGTTGTGGCCGAAACGTCGTGAGAATTTTTATTTAATTAGGTTTTATTTTTATTACTTTATTATTTCCCTTCTACGTGACTTTACCCAAAGAACCAAGAAGATGAATCCCTGCAGTCACGAAAGCTTTAAATCGAAATTTAGACGCAGAGAGGTGATTTTTTTTTGCTGCAGACCCATTTGGGGCTGTTTGCGCGACAGAATGAGTCCGTGGAATAATGGAAGAGGAGGTGCAAGCGTGAGTCCTATGCAGCCAACGGCAAGCGATGCCACACAATCAACAACCAATGGCTGGAGATGAGTTGGCATGGGATACAGCGTGGGGTCGAGCATGGAAAGGAAATCGATATTATATTTATCGACTCCGGTTCCATAGTTCCTCATACGGGGCAAGCTCACACCCAGGGTAACCTTCATTGGATATGACACACACACACACCTACTTTTACATGAGGTTGTATTTGGGTTATATCGCGTAAATGCATCGTTAAGCCCGCCACCACCCGACACAGCCCATTAGTAAGGTTTGTTGCGTAAACTGACACCTACTTTTCATTATTATAATTTATCCCTCTTATTTCACAGGCAGACAGATGCTATATGAATCATTGTGTGTGTGTGTTAACCATGGCGGTAGTGTAGTGGTTAGAGCACGGCACGACAAACCTGGCGACCCGGGTTCGATTCCCGCTCACGGCTAACACCAGTGACGATTATCTTAACCGGTCCTGGGCCCCCCCTAGTTCGATTCAGCCTGGTGCGACGTTTAAAAAAATTGCTACTGGGGAGACAAAGGTGGCCGCGCGTGGTGTTGGCCACCAAACCCCCTCATGCGCTGTGCCGGCCTTCATAGGTGCTCGCTAACAGCACTTGCCCCAACAGTCTGTTGAGGTTATACGGGGGGGGGGGATCTTTGTCTTTGTTAACCGTCCGTCTGCCCGTCCAAACCAGGAACTGGTGCGCGTACATGGTAAGCAAGACGGTGACGTGCCCGGCGGAGGATGGAGTGGAGACGTTTGTCAAGGCCGAGTACCACACCTGCATGTGGGGTCATCTCAACTGCCAGCGCGCCGTCACGTACGTACACACAACAACAGCAAAGCTGCCGCCAACACCCGCCGTTCGCCACTAAGTGGCGGTGATGTCACCACGGCGCCTGTGCCAGGCCAGGTGCACTTTGAGGCTATCACGCAAAGTGCAGGAGGTCACGGGACGGTCGAACGTTGCACCATCGTCATTTCCCCAAAATCGCATTGGCAGGGCCTGCCCCCGTGTGAATCACATACTTTATGGCGAGGCGGTAAGAGCGATATAAGGGCACGTTCAATTTCCGTTTTCTGCTCAAGTCTTAATAATAACGATGAGAATAAAATTGTTCTGTGGGCTTTTTGACTGGACCTTGCCGACAGACGCACCGTCTCCACGCAAGTTCGTGCCAGGTCCGTCAACGCCAAATATCTCGGGATATTGATCCATATCCTGGCAGCGCTGCCAGTAACTGGCATCAATTCTAACTCTCAAAGCAAGTCAAGTGCCGGAGTGCGCGCACTCCTCGACAGCTGCTATACCCTCCATTGGGTGGCCCCATGGCACAACCCCCCAAGGCCACACCAAGTATACATGAGTGTGTGGGTTCTATCCCGACCCCTGATACATGTATATTTGAAGTTTGCCCCATGGTCGCGTGGATTTTTTTCCGGCTCCTCTGGTTTTTCATTCCAGATAAAGAATCGACATCATGCGTTTAGAGTATTTGGCTGCCATAAATGTCCACGTGATAAGCCACTTCGTTGGGCTATCACTTGTGGCTAGGTCGTTTCTGAAAAAGAGCTATATAGCTCAGTGGGCCTTACCTGGTCAAATAAAAAAAATAGTTAATAGTTTCTTCCAATTTCCTCACTGTTGGTAGCAGCTGCCAATCTGCTGCGGATCAGGAAAGCCAAGGTTGTGATTTTGACCTCTTCAGTGTGTAAACCCGTCCCCAAGTATACACGTGGACGTTTCTGGCATGGCAGGCCTTACTAAGCTATATTGCTTTGGTTGCCCATCGTATATGAATAATTACTTAAACATCGAGCCCTGTAATTTAACTCGGTTGTTTCCCCACGTCTTCTATACAGAACAGGCCTACAATACAAGTGGGTGTTCACGTGGGATTATGCTGTAATTGGATTCAACAATGTGTTTCAACTCCACTCATCCATCTTCCCCATACGAGGATTATTTACGCGGTGCTCAAAATGTAACTGAACAATGCAGATGCAATAGGACTCCAAATTGGATTGCATCGGCTTCACGTCGCTTATTCTGTGATCGTAATCATACAACCCAGCGGTGTTTCGTTTGCCTGCAGGTATCGTACCTTTGTACGGCCACAGTACAAGATTGCCTACAAGACGGTGAATGAGATGGAGTGGCGATGCTGCCCAGGCTACAGCGGGAACGGCTGCACCGACGGCCCCGCGCCCAGCCCTGGAGACACCTCATCATCCTCTTCCTCGTCATCATCCTCATCACCCTCCTCCTCATCCTCCTCCTCATCACCGTCTTCCCCAGGCTCGGGCCAAGCGAGGCCGAGCAACGGGGCCTCTGGCTCCCTCTTCCCAACCAGGAACGGTGGAGGCTCACGTCCCGCGGTGGTAGGCGTCCCCACGGCGCACCGGCCTGGTAGCTTGGGCCCGGCGCCTAGACCCGATCGACCCTCACAGCGCCAACGGCCTGGCGGGCTGGTGCCGCTGCAGCAGCATCCACACCCTAATGGTGAGCGGTAGAGTGAGACTTCTGGCGAACGTCAGGGCAGGGTTGACGTTGGGCGAGGTTAAACGCGGACGTCGCCAAACGCAAGCGACGGCATGGAACGCCCACAGGACGCGAAGTCCTGAGATATGGTCGCCGTTGTGGTGCCTTATGTCAGTGGCCGTGGACAAAAAAAGTACTGGCTTCTCTAATTAACTCAAAATTTTTTTTTTTCCGGAATGGTTATCATTAGCCGTAAAAAACTCTCCGCTGCTAGACGAAAGCTTCCTCAAGTTTGCAAACAACTGTTATTGAAATAAATGGCAGCACTTATGCGAATATAAAACGTTGAATTGGAAAGCTCCTCATTGCGTACTAATATGTTATTGCATAACATTGCAAGTTAAGCCTGCTGTGACCTTCAATTAAATACTGATGTCCATGCTATTAATGTCTATGCCTTAGTCATGGTTACCCATATAAAAGCTTACTTGTGTGTGACCAGCAGTGTATGGGACTTTACATTTGTAGGGTAAGTGTCGGGAAGTGTTCTGAATTCTCACCTCATTTTAGTGGCTCTTGCAAAACTGGCGAGCACATTGCACGTTTCAGCAATTTCCAGGACAATGCATAAATTATCAGAGTGTGTTTTTTTTGTTTGCATTTTGACCACAAGTTTTGTGGTTAATGCACACATGATTCCTTGTAAAAAGGTTCCAGTTTTGTTGCCTTAAAAAGGGGGAAAACCCTATTATTATATTTTGGTACTGGCAAAGGAGGTCTAATGATGTAGATGCTTACCCCGAGCCCTCATTACTTTGATTGTGCATTGTCTTTGAGCTGTACGCCTTTTGGTATCCTTTGGTCTAGCACCAATTGAGATGAAGCTCAAAAGAAAGCCATCTCTGGTGTGGACCAATCAGTTTCAAGGACAATGCATATATTATGAGAATGTGTTTTTTGTTTGCATTTTGACCACAAGTATTGTGGTTAATGCAGTAACATGATTCCTTGTAAAAAGGTTTCAGTTTTGTTGCCAGAAAAAAGGGGAAAAACCCTATTATTTTATTTTGGTACTGGCAAAGGAGGTCTCATGATGTTTCAGTAATTGGCCGAAATTATTTGGCACGCAACGACACATCAACAGAAATTGATACCTCACGCTCAGAATGCGCGCATTGAATTGTGCTCGCGAGGCTTTCGTATTTTCTTCGTTTGTGCAAAATAAATGCCAACGACATGCAAATAGTATTCCCCTTCGCAGGACGGGTCCCGGACAACCCCCACGGTGACAAAATCACCCGGCTGGAAAACGAGATGCACCGCCTGGCGGAGGCGTTCGGCACCCTGCAGTCCACGGTCAACGGCCTCAAGCTGACGCTGGAGGAGGACTCGAGCCAGCTGCGCAGCCTCATCATCAACAGCAACGGCCACGGCAAGGAGGGCTTCCGCCCACCTGTCAGCACGCTGGGACACGACACCCACCACCCGGAGCCCGCAGTCCGGGGCGCCATCACCGACGTGGCCGTTGCGTGGCGGCCATCTGACGTGCTCGGCAGGCTCGACAGGTTCAACGACACCCTCCGGCGAAAGGCCACGGCCCTGGATCAAATCCAGGGGCTCGTCCGGAGCCAGGATGCGAAGATCGACGACTTGCTGCGCAAGGTGAAGGCGTGTAACGAGCCATGCCCGCCCGACCGTGGCGGTGGCGGCAGCGATGGGTCGACATCGCGGCCGGGCGGCGTGGGCACTGGTTCTGGTGGTGAGAGAGGCGATGTGAGAAATCCAGGCTCGAGCCACCCTGGGGGTCCAGGGCAGTGGCTTCCAGGAGGCAAAGGAGGTGGAAACATGGAACAAGGCACTGGGACCGACGGTCAACATAGACCTGGCAGCACAGTTCCCAGATACCCTGGAGGCCCAGGTTTTTCCACGCCGAGAGGTGAAGGGCAAGGACAGGCTTGGGTCCCAGGTGTAGGTTCAGGAGATCAGGTGGGTGTTGGCCATGGATCAACCATCCCAGGTGGTACAGGCACCGGTCACACTTGGAGACCGGACTCTGCTGTTGGTGGAGAAGGAGGTGGAGTTGGTGGTGGAAGCCAATCTGGAGGACCAGTGTTTGTGATTCCAGGAGGAAGAGGGTCAGGCGACACATTAGGACCAGGGACTGGAGGAGGAGGTCAGCTAAAGGTTGATAGTCCTGGGTCTAGCTACCCAGGGGGTCCAGGCCTTTATATGCCAGGAGGTACAGGGTCAGACCAGGATGGAGTGGGTGGCCCAGGAGATAGATTTGGGCCAGGAGGTGGAGTTGGTGGTCCAGGAGGTGGAGTCGGTGGCCCAGGAGGTGGAGTTGGAGGCCCAGGAGATAGATTTGGACCAGGAGCTGGAGTTGGTGGTCCAGGAGGTGGTGTTGGTGGTCCAGGAGGTACAGGGTCAGACCAGGGTGGTGTTGGTGGCCCAGGAGGTGGAGTTGGGCCAGGAGGTGGAGCTGGTAGCCCAGGAGGTGGAGTCGGTGGTCCAGGAGATGGTGTTGGTGGCCCAGGAGGTGGAGTTGGTGGCCCAGGGGATAGATTTGGGCCAGGAGGTGGAGTTGGTGGCCCAGGAGGTGGAGTTGGTAGCCCAGGAGGTGGAGTTGGTAGCCCAGGAGGTGGAGTTGGTGGCCCAGGAAGTGGAGTCGGTGGTCCAGGAGGTGGAGTTGGTGGTCCAGGAAGTGGAGTCGGTGGTCCAGGAGGTGGAGTTGGTGGCCCAGGAGATAGATTTGGGTCAGGAGGTGGAGTTGGTGGTCCAGGAGGTGGTGTTGGTGGCCCAGAAGGTGGTGTTGGTGGCCCAGGAGATAGATTTGGGCCAGGGGGTGGAGTCGGTGGTCCAGGAGGTGGAGTTGGTAGCCCAGGAGGTGGAGTTGGTGGCCCAGGAGGTGGAGTTGGTGGCCCAGGAGGTGGTGTTGGTGGCCCAGGAGATAGATTTGGGCCAGGGGGTGGAGTCGGTGGTCCAGGAGGTGGAGTTGGTAGCCCAGGAGGTGGAGTTGGTGGCCCAGGAGGTGGAGTTGGTGGCCCAGGAGGTGGTGTTGGTGGCCCAGGAGGTGGTGTTGGTGGCCCAGGAGATAGATTTGGGCCAGGGGGTGGAGTCGGTGGTCCAGGAGGTGGAGTTGGTAGCCCAGGAGGTGGAGTTGGTGGCCCAGGAGGTGGAGTTGGTGGCCCAGGAGGTGGAGTTGGTGGGCCAGGAGGTGGAGCTGGTGGCCCAGGAGATAGATTTGGGCCAGGGGGTGGAGTCGGTGGTCCAGGAGGTGGAGTCGGTGGTCCAGGAGGTGGAGTTGGTGGTCCAGGAGATAGATTTGGTCCAGGAGGTGGAGTTGGTGGTCCAGGAGGTGGAGCTGGTGGTCCAGGCGATAGATTTGGTCCAGGAGGTGGAGTTGGTAGCCCAGGAGGTGGAGCTGGTGGCCCAGGAGGTGGAGTTGGTGGTCCAGGAGATAGATTTGGGCCAGGAGGTGGAGTTGATAGCCCAGGAGGTGAAGCTGGTGGTCCAGGAGATAGATTTGGGCCAGGAGGTGGAATTGGTGGTCCAGGAGATGGAGCTGGAGGCCCAGGAGGTAGAGTTGGAGGCCCAGGAGGTGGAGTTGGTGGTCCAGGAGGTGGAGTGGGTGGCCCAGGAGGTGGAGTTGGTGGCCAAGGAGATAGAGTTGGGGGTCCAGGTTCTAGTTACCCTGGGGGTCCAGGAGGTATGGGATCTGATCCGACAGATCAGCTAGATCCAGACGGAAAATTTGGTTCAAAGGACACAATTCAGCCTGGAGTTCATGGAGAGCCACAGTTCAAAACACCACCACCTCCCAGAGGATCACACCCTGGAATTAACACCATCAATCATATTGATCAGGAAACCCTCGATCGAAAATTGTCGCAACTCAAAGGGGAAATTCTTCAAGAGATACAGTCGAAGATGCCACTAACTGCAGTAGATGCCAGCAGCTGTCCCTGTGATCCTGAGATCTTCGATCTCCGCGAGAGGTTAGAGGAGGGGCAGGAGTCGTTGCGACGAATGCAAGATCAGATCACGGCTTCGAACTCTGGACAGGACCGTAAGTTCGGCGACATTCATGCACAGCTCGAAATGCTCGCTCTGACGTCTCTGTCTGACGGCGCCACCGCCAACGGGCGGCCCTGCTGCGACTCAGTGCATGACTTCGACGGTCGACTCTCGGGCCTCGAGAGGAACATCTCGTCCGTGGCGGACGCTTACAGAGTGCTGAACTCCCGTCTGGACAACGAGCTGGCCGCAATTGCTGTCGCACCGGAGGTGCTGCAGGAAGCCTCGGAGTTGACGTTCCAAGACCGCCTGGCTGACCTGGAGGGCCGGCTGAACGCGTCGGAGAAGAATGCAGAGGAGCACTGCCTATATGCCCAGGATCTGCTGGAGGCAAAATTGTCTGACCTCCAGGAGAAGCAGCGGGATGACTTGGACAGTGTAAGGGGAGACCTGGAAGCGCTGCGCGAGCTTGTTAGCGCACTGCGGGGAACGGCGCACGCCGACCCCTCTGGTCCCGTGGACTCAGTTGACCTCTCTGATGAATTGGTCAACCTCCTTAACCATCGATTCAAGGATTTGGAGAGGAAACTGAACAAGACAATGTGGGAAGCTGTTCACAATGCCAGCGGCTCGGCGAGGCCCCACAGCAGTGGCCTAGACTTACCAGACAGCCTGAGAGATGCCTTGGATCAACTGGCGAGCGACGTAGATGGATTCCACATCCAGGAATTTGCCACGAACTTGTCGGCCGTCACCAATGAGCTCAACAAACTGAAGGCACGCCTCGACGGTGGCAATTACGAAACTGGCCTCGACACGGACGGCTTCTGCTCGGAGCTCTGTGAAGCAGAGGTGAAGAGAGTTTCGGAGAGAGTGGACTCTTGCGACGATAGATACCGCGAGCTGGCTGACAGAATAGAGGCAAACAGGCGGTACGCCACATCGCTTAATCACACGTTCAACCAGCGACAACCCCAGCCTCCCACCACTTCTGGTGGACGTGGAAGCAGCGGCGGCAGCGGTGGTGGTGGTGGCGATGGTGGTGGTGGCAGCGGCGGCCGTGACAGCGGCAGAGGTGGTGATGGCGGCGGAGGCTTCAGTGACAATGACAATGGTGAGGATGATGTGGCGGTCCACCTCACGTTCTTGCGGGGAGAGGTGAAGACACTCAAGGGGCAGGTGCACTCTCTCAACACGACACTGAAAGGTATGAACGACTCCCTCTATAACATCGGTTTTGTCGGTGTGAGTGACACGGAGGGCAACGCCGACGATGACGACATGAGCGCCAAGATCTCCTGGATCTTCCCAGGTGAGCGCCCTCCGATCCGAGGGCATGGCCGCATCATCAAGACCCTCGAGGGTGAAACGATAAGTTTAGCCCCCGCCAAGGCCAACGGAGAGGGCGGCGGTGATGACGATGGTGGCTGCAGCGGCAAAGACCGGGAGAATTTCGAGCGGCGAATCGGCAACCTGGAGGGAATGTGCGGGAAGCTGACGTCTGTCGCCGGGAGCCTCGACCGGATCAAGGACGGCCTGAACAAGCACGTGACGGCGCTGTGGCAGTGCGTGAACAGCATGAACGTGACCCTGCGGACGCACGGCGAGGGGATTGACAGCCTGCAGGACGCGTGCGGCAACACCCGCGCCGACATCGAGGATCGCCTGAGGTCCCTCAACGACACCGTCTTCCAGATCCTGCACGACCCTCAGGATGTCTTCTCAGGTTTGTTGTAATCGACGGTCTTCGTCGGCTCGTTAAACTCCAGCTGCACCCCTCTGGGGCTTCGGTCACACAAATGATCAATGCGAATACTTTTGAAAACGCTTTCAGAATCATAATATGTATTTCCATGTTACGTATGTATATTGAAGTTATTTCGCATGGTACGTAGCCAACCGTGCGAATTGGAGGTTCAAATACTTACAAAAACAAGCAATAGAAAAACACGATAGGAGTGCAAAGTATAGGAAAGGTGAATAAATCACTTAAAAATTTCCAAATTAAACTAAACTATTTTTATTTTACCAGGTGGAAACAATGGGAGCGAGTTTATTGATGCCCTCTTGCCTCCTCTGTCCACCCAGCATTCTTGATGGGTTGCGCCGCCCTTAGTCGATCAAGCAGGTCCACGTGTGGTGAAGCAAAGAGCTTGGTACTCTTTCCAAGACGTCTGGTCAGCGTGTGGAAGAGGAGGGGGGCTCTCTGGAGCTCTCCCTAATCGAAGGCCCCTTCCACCAGCAGTGGCATGACCAAGCAATTAGAGTGCTGCACCTGTGTCTTAACCCAGTGTGAAACCCACGGTATTTACGTTTGGTTGCATACACGCCGATTTTTCACAGGACTTGGAGATTTCTCGAAGCCATCGCCTGGTGTTCCAGGACCCCCCGGCCCTGCCGGTCCTCATGGCCCCATCGGCCCTGTTGGCCCACGGGGCCACCCAGGGGCCCAAGGACAACAGGGCCTCAAGGGAGAGGCAGGGCCACCTGGCCCAGAGGGCCAACTCGGTGAGGTCAAAGGGGCCGTAAAAGCTACAGATAATTACAATGACAGCAAAAGATAAAGCTTTGATTTTAACTTTTACAATAAATCGCAAACTACTGATCGCAAAAAAATTTGTATTACCAACAAAATAAATAAATTATTCTTTTTTCAATTTTTTTTGCTGTGGATTTCACACCTGATGATGATTGCTGTGTTGCAGTCGAAACGTTGTGAGAATTTTTATTGTTTTATATTTATATTATTTTATCATTTCCCTTCTACGTGACTTTACCGAAAGAACCAAGAATATGAATCCCTGCAGTCACGAAAGCTTTAAATCAAAAAATTAATAAATTAAACAAATATAATTTAATTTAGACCAATTTATTTCAAGGGTATTTACGTTTCATTTCCGATACAAGGAGCTTTCTGCATGAACTCAACGCTTCGTCAATAGCGTTGTTTAGCTTTAAAAGTAAAAGAATAGAATAAATAGGGGACGTTTTTTGGGAAATCACCCATCTTCATGGCACATAAGTCATAGCCACTGCCCAAAGGTTGTCTATCATACGGAGGCCAAAGTTGCGTTCCGTTCTCTGCGCACCTCCACGCGCATTGTTCTACAGAAGTGGTTCTTAACCTGGGGTGTACGCACCCCCTGGGGGTGCGAGACATGGCCAGATTTTTTAGAAGGGAAATCGTTGAAATAGAAGTTAAGCACAGGCACTTAAATGCAGCTACTTTGTTTCATGAAACGTATGTATTTATTTAGATTATATATATTTTTACGATTGAGAACCAAAGGGGTGCGAGGCTGCAGTAAATGTAAAGAACCACTGCTCTAAAGCGAACCCAGTTATCATATTCACTTCAGGCGAGTCACACGCACACACACAAGGGGCTGCCCATTTCCCACGTGTGACGGAGCGTCGATCCACTGCCGGATTGAGGGCTGTGTAATATGGCGAAGGTCGAGTTGTGTGCCGCATGCCCATACCCCCAAGCCCCGACCCCCACCACCCGCCCGCCCGCCCGCCACACTAACGAGGGGTTCACGCCGACGGCCGCGTGCAGGTGGTTGGGGCGCGCTCTCGGGCCCCGTGGCATTCTCCGCCGCCGTGCGCGACCATCAGCCCGAGAACACCGTCATCAAATTCAGCCTCGTGCTCGTCAACGACGGAGACCACTACGACCCCAACACAGGTGAGCGCTCTCGTGGGAGGTGCACCAAGGTGTGGGGGAAGTGGGGGGGGGGTGCGGGGGTGCGGGCATGGGATGGGGGGACTAAAATGGCCCACCACCAACGAAGTTTTTTGTGTCTGTGCAAGAGCGTGTAGTGGGGAGCGTTAGTGTAGCGGTTAGCGCGTCGCGCTACAAACCCGGCGACCCGGGTTCGATTTCCGCTCACGGTCACCGCCAGTGTCGATTATTTGAACCGGTCCTGGGCCTCCCCGAGGTCGACTCAGCCTCAAATGAGTACCTAGTGCGATGTGTAAACATCGCCAGGGAGATGCTGGCCCACCCCCTCGTGTGCTGTGCCGGCCTTTATAGGTGCTCGCTAAAAGCACTTGCCCCAAGTCTGCTCCGGCTATACGGGGGATCTTTGTCTTTTTAAGTACGTGTGGTTGTAGTGTCGTGAGAAGTGGCAGCGTGGTGGTTCGCACGCTGTTCTACGAACCTGGCAATTAGAGTAAAATTCCCCGCTCACGACCAATACGAGTGCCGGGCAATATTTGAGCCAGTCCTGAGCTTCCCCTAGGTCGACTCAGCCTGAAATAAGGGGCCGTCCATAAATGACATCACGCACCTAGGGAGGGGGGGTCAGACATTTGTGATGGTGTGTGACGAGGGGGGGGGGGTTGAGAAATTTGACGTCACATCAAAATGCGCAAATTTTAATAAATATAAACAACACGTTCTACTTAATTAAATAGACTTTTTAATAAATGTTTTCTCCTACAACATCAGAGTGCAGCGCCACATTAAATACGCACTACAATGACAATAGTTTAAAGCGATTTGAAGCATGTTTTATTTTTTTTGGGGGGGGGCAGAACTTTATGACGTCATATTTGAGGGGGGGGGGGTTTGACTTTTTGTGACGTCGTGTGACGAAGGGGGGGGGGGTAAAAAATCGTCCAAAATCGCGTGACGTCATTTATGGACGGCCCCTAAGTACCTGGTACGGCGTGTCAACATCAGCACTGGGGAGGCAAAGGTGGCTGGGCGTGGCAATGGCCACACCACCTCCTCCCTCGTGCGGAGGTCCGGCTTTCGCTTGCGAATCTGGTTTACCCTTTGAATGGCTAAATCGTTAACTTGAGCCTCGGTTGTTCAGCTGTAGGCGGCTCAAGTGCTCCGATGCAGCATTGCAAACGCGACGCTTACCTACAGCTACTGCAAACAGGTCCGACGGTTTTTGTTCCTTCCTCTGAAATATTCCCAGACTCCCACCCCTTTCATGACTGCAATAAATGTCCACGTGATAAGCCACTTCATTGAGCTATCATTTGTGGTCAGGTCGCTTCTGATAAAGAAGATAATAGCTCAGTGGGCTTTACCTGCTAAGATAAAAACTAAGTTAGTTTTTATATGTTTTTAAAGTGATTTGTTACCTTTCCTATACTTTGCGTTCCGATCGTGTGTTTGTAGCGTTTGTTGCTGTAACGTTCTGACCTGCCCCTACTTGACATCTGCGAAAATGAGCTTTACAGCTCATCGGATTCCCCCAGGTACAAATAAATATTCCGATTCTGAAATGTCCAATCGCCACCGTTCATCCCAGGCATTTTCACGGCGCCGGTGAGCGGCCGCTACCTCGTCACCTCCGTGCTGGTGCCGGAGAAGAACAACCACGTGTTCGCCATCCTGAGCCGCTCCAACCACTCGCTGCTCTACGTCGACTCCTCCGGCCCGCGGCCCGAGGAGATCGAAAAGACCCTGCAGGCCAAGCCGATGGCGGAGGAGGCCTCGCTGGGCCAGGCGGTCATCAGCGTCATCCTGCCTCTGGCCGCGGGCGACACGCTCTGCATGGAGCTGGTGGAAGGCCAGGTGCACGCCTCCGAAGACCCGTACAGCACGTTCAGCGCAGCCCTCCTGTACGGCGACGAGTTGAGATAACCGCGTCCCGCCGTCGTCGATGAGGGAGCGTCCTCCGTATCGGAGGCGACGGGGCCTCCGCGAGCCGGGTCGTCGTCGCCGCCGCCACCGCCGGCACGTTGAGATGAACCTTGGTGTCGTTTCGCGAAACGCCGACCAGCAGCCGTTCCCCTCTGCTCTCTCGAGAAGAGAAGTATCGTTGTTCAGGTCAAAGAAATTGGGATACGGTTCGAGAAAAAAATGTCCAGGCCGGCGAGATCGCGTTGCCGTCCTTTTGAATATAAATTATTGGAGTGGGTCTGCGCAGACGTGAGATTAACGACGGGGCACTATTCCGGGCCGATGCGCAACGATAGTTGAGATGCACCCTCGACTCTGCACCTCCGATTAGGACGGTTGGCAAAGTCCGGTGCGAAAGAAGTTCAACATCCACTCACATACGACAGGTTTGTTGTGTTATTGCAGTCAATATAACCGCCATCGGCACGCCTGGTGACATTTTAATTAGGCGGCGTTGAACGCAGTTATTTTTTGTATTTGTTTTGTACTTTTGATAACCAAAACAACCATGTGCACTGAATGCTTGTGCGTCGTTTAATCTGCTGTGTCGGCTTAGGAAGGGACTCTTTTTAAGTGGCACGTCTTTTTTTATTACACTTACCGCTTTATATGTATGTATTTAACTTAATGTTTTGCCACGGTATACCTTCCTGCTTTACGCTTTGAACCCTTTTAATCTTTTACACGATTTAAATGTCGTAGACTCATTATAAAACCACAAACATGTCTTTTCTTTCACAAGCTATTTCTTTCTTTTAAACGCACTGTATATTTTGCCGACAAGCAAAGCGCTCTACATATTTGCAAGATTGTTTTTTGCCGTTGTGTTTTTTTAGTTCCAGGATGCGTGCAGCTGTCTTGGCACTGCGATGTGGCGATTTAAATGTCGTTGCTTTGAACCCTCTCAACGGTAACATTACGACGCAATGCTGTCACGGCCTTCCTTCGTACACATTAAAACCTCTTGTTAAAGCGCTCACTAGATTTACACGTATGTACATTATTGATCAACAATCCTTTGAACGATTCTCGACTATTTCCCAGGGTCTTGCCCGATGGCAGCACTTAATTAAAACAAAACAAAATTTCACCTCCGTTCCCATGTGCCGCTGGACGGGAGGTTACGGATGGGGCTTGGCGGCCATCGGCATCGTCGGGCCGCGTCATACTGGACGTGGCTTGCAAGGGAGGCAGAATTCCGAGCCGGCTGACGTTATTAGGCGATTGGTCGACTTATATCGATTCATCCCAGCCCCGAAACATCTCACATCACCGGCTGTGTCTGGCTGCGATGGCGGAGGTCACACGGAGGGGCACACGTGGCCAAGCGAGGGCAAGTTGCCACCACTTCGCAAACAACCCAGTGGACAGCGAATGAACAAACATGTAATCGCAAATCAAATCTCCATCGCAATGTCAGAAAAATCTCAATTAGATATTTTCTCCAAATCGTTCAGCCCTAAGCAGTAGCATCATCATCAGTAGCAGCACCATCATCATCATCAGCAACAATATCAGCAGCAGCAGAACGTGCCGACGTCGGCAACGTGGTTGGAAACGCTTTGCACAGCGCACCACGATTAACGTGAGGGGGTGGGGCAACCGATGATGGCAATTCTTGTAGAGTCGTTATGTTTTCTCAAGTGTATATGCTTATAGAGGCGTTTCATTAACCAGTGGCTAGAATTGGCTTCTCAAATGTAAACAAAAACAAATCCGTGGTCATAATAAAATAATAAAAATTAAAGATAATAAAATAATTCTCACGACGTTTCGACAATTTTCACGACGTTTCGACATTCAGACACCGTCTTTCCGACAGACCTGTTCTTCATCCGTGGTCATAGTTAAATTGTTTGCAACTATTAAATAAAGCTATGAAATCTGCCTCCAGCAATCAGCTTTATCCCCCAACCCCGGCTCCCTTTATGCGAAAGGCTCATTAACGTTGTCATAAAATAAAACCGCAGTGTCGCTGACTCGCTCTGTAATTCAATGAGAAGGGGGTCTCCCTCTTCCTTTACCCCATGGACCCCCTGCACGAGTTCAGCGTAATCTCCCACGCCATGGCGACGACGCACCACATAGCTTGTAATGCAGCACTGTGGAGGCAGCAGCAGCAGCCAGTGTTGGTGAATCACACACAGGCGGGGGTCGAGGTGCCATGCCCTGGCTCGCTGGGAAATGCCGGTTACTTTGAATGCAAACTCCGCCTGTCCCATCTGTATTAAATAGCGTTGCTCCACTCACATGCGTGCGTTTCCCCTCTCACGTAAACGACGATTAACCAACACATTCCTGCGGAGGGAACTGGTAGGAACGTTGGGTTGCTCGGTCAATTGCCAGGGTCAACGGCGGCGTGGTGTATTCCGCAAATATGGCTGACCGAGGGCGGGCACAAGCCGGCGTGAGTAGGTTAAACGTTGAGTTGTATTAGGACACCAAGGGGTGACCAGCCCCTCCCCACCCCTCCCACCCCCCACCCCCCACCACACCCAGCCCCTCCCCACCCAGCACCTCCCCACCCTCCCCTTCTTGGATGCACGACGGACGGACAGACACAATAATCCCCTGTGGGCTGGTGTAACCAGGAGGTTCCTACCAGTATTAACACCTTCATGTATAGAGGACTGCAGAGCTCAGGGACGGGTTATTCATACTTTGTTCTCGCTCTTCAAAAGCGAGCGAATACAGTGCGTGCACTACAAGTTGGAAGTTACTGAGAACGCCAAATTGCCATGACTCTTGTTAAGCAAGGTCCTGTTGACACCGAGACGCGTAGCCAAAACCATTGAGGTCCTGTGGGAGGAAACCGGAGAAACCTCGCAGGGCACACGACAGGATGGAGAACGAGCATCTCACGACCACCTTGCAGCCACATGTACGTTATGTTGAACTTCTTTCGCACCGTAGCCAACCCGTGCCAATCGGGGAAAGACAACCAAGAGAACACAAAAAGCACATGCTTGTAATACCCGGTAAGCCCTGGCGGTCGTCTGTCTTGCAAGTACGAACCAGGCTCAAACCCGCCACCCCATGGAGATTGGACGCACGCAGAGCGATTTGGTCTTGCGCAAGCGTTCCACTGGCATGCCGTTCGGGCTGCAGGTCTGTAGATTGGATCCAAAGGCCACGAGAAAAAAAACGCGCAAACCTCCACTCGGCGATATTGATGCCAAATACTCCACTCAAACCGGACGGCGCGCCATGATTATTTTGAAGGCAGAAAGTCCCCAATAACATCACGACTTTGTACTGAAAGATCGATTCATAATGCATCATCAATGCAATCATTATCGTGTTCCCCCACTGTGGACGGGCAGAGCTAATGCACGAAGGAATTTCACAACCAAACAACGGGAACTAAGAGAGGGTGGGGGGGGGGGTGTGCAGTTGGAAAATACGATTGACATTTCATGAGTAGATGCGGCTGCCAAATCTTTTTAAATCCTTTATATTAAGTTCACTTGCTTGCTTAGGACCGTGCAAATCTTTCGGTCGTTTTTTAACCCACTTCCAGTGATCCAATCGAGCTGACATTTTCCACACAGACTGGTTGTGCGTGACAATTAATGTTCGTGAAATTTTTTACACTTTTTAGGACAAAAATATAATATTTAATTACCAATTGCTTAATGCTGCCATGCAATCATCTGACCCATAGGTGGCAGCCATCTCAAGCCAGAGGACTCTAGCCACCACGCATATAAAGGATTTATAGTGAAAAACTTAGTTTTTACGGGTTATACTTGATCCTCTGCAAGAACCGCAACGACAAATAAACGTAGTCACACAGACATCAGGGGTGAAACAGCAGTTTTTTTATTTAACTCAAGCAAAAAAAAAAGGCAAACGTCCAGACATTTGTACTGAACTATTTTTCTTGTTTTTTATTTGTTTTCCCCCTTCAACTTGTTTATTCCCTTTGTGTGCTCTTACTTGAATTGCAAAGTTACAATTTTTTAAAACAAACTCAAAACCGAAACACCTTCCGTCTTGTCCCGTTCGCAATCCGCCACTGCCGACAGTCGTCAGCCCCACCAACCACAAGGCAAGACAACCAAAAACGCAGTCCCTCAAAACCTATCAGATGAAAACCTCACCTGACCAAACACAAACCGTGCGTTTTTTTTCCAAACCTCCAGTGTCCTTACGACCACCACCACTGTCCGCCCCAGGCACCATTTACAAAACCCTGCTCCGGTCAAATACGACCGATGGGAAGTCGAACGCTGATTCAATGCCGACAGCGATTCGTGCAAAGATAGACCTCGTGCGGATTTATGTTTTACACACAATGTCCCCGATGACACAGAGGGCACGATTCATGTGTGTACACCTTTGCGTTGTCTTTTGTACACGCGCGTGCGTGTGACCCGAGCACCGATTCAAATCGCCAAAGAGGTCTCCGCGTGCGTCCCCACGTGACGCGGAAGAGCGCCGATTCAAACAAGAGGTGAAGGATTTTTATTTGAATTGGAAGTCTCCAACGTTATCTCGGCCGCACGGGCGTCTCGGATAAAACACGCATATGGAGGGGATGTTACTTTCAGAATCTGCGCTCCCCTGCGTCACGGCGTTTTTTTGCCAATCGTCAGACATGTGCAGATTTAACCTCTTCAATGTGTATTTAAACGCACAAGTATGGTAAAACTCTGTAAGGCGGACAACAGTAGCCCCAAGAACTGGAAGTTTGGAAAACCACATCTTAACACATTTCAAACCATTAGTTTTGTAATTTTGCTATTTTTTTGGGATTTTATTTTACGTTTTTTGTGTTTTTCTTTTTCACTTCGATATGCTATTTTTGTGCATTTTTTTAGTGACTCCAGTCTAAATGTGTCCAGCCATCTTGAACCACCATGGAGGGTCTGCCAAATAAAACATCACAACGTTAGAAAACCGACGGTCAAAAAGGCATGGCACTCAAGCGATTCTGAGTCCAGTAATGATGACTCAAAATAGATAAAATGATCGCTTCAGATAGTTGGAACGAACAGGTTCACCAATTGCGTTGTTCTAACACGGTGGAGACATCCGCGCCCTCTCGTTCTGTGCAACTTTTCTAAATAAATTAAATTGCACGGGTTCGATCGATCGACCATTATGCCCTGGCTATTTTGGTAACCATGCCCTCTCTCTCTCGCCGTGTCTGGTTTTGGGTGCTTTTACCGTCTGGGCCATGTGTGAATGATCGCAAGCCGGTGAGAACAGGCGTTCGATGAGGCTGAACCCTGTGTAAGCGCTAGCCACCTGATATGAAGACCTTTATCCCTCACCTTTTGGAACTCTCAGCTGGTTAAACAAAATAAACATGGCCACAAGAGGTTGATGTTGAGATACGACCAATTGTCACCGATGTACACACATGCAGTCACCACGACGCTTGACACAGGCCCAACACAGTGAGCGGCACTTACTCTCTCTCTCGATGGGAAGAGGGTGTTGTGGCGCTTGGAAAATTACTGCACCGGCACGGCCCCCGTCTTCTGAGCCACCTCTTTAGCCTGGTGGGCTTGCAGCACCGCCACAGCCTCCTCCACCTGGACGCCGGGGTGGGGGGGGGGGGGGGACAACACCAGTCAGGGCACCACGAGGTCAGACACAATTCTGAAAAAAAAAATCGGCTATAAAAATAACGACGCAAACAGAGGATTTAAAAGACGGGAAAAGCCCTTTAACACTCAAGAGATGTTGTGCGGCCTCAAAACGGTGCACGGTGGGGGGGGGGGGGGGGGAATTCATCGTCGTCCCCATGAGGCACGCTCAATCCACCACTGGATGAAAGCTTCTCCGCCCCCGCCCCACCGCCCACCCATACGATCCTGCGCTGTATCAATCCACGCCAAACGATTTCACCGCTGCCACTCCACGGTCGACGTCTTCTCGGCCGCGAATCCAACGCTGGCCAGCACACTGCGTTATTATCCTCCACCATTGGTCCCGTCATCCCTTGGAGCGACGTGTCCCACGATGATTTGGAAATTTATTTATTTCGCGCGAGCCCTCCGCAGCCGCTCACCTTGGAGCGCAGGGACTCGGGCGACTCGAGCATGTGGAGCAGCTCCGAGTTGTCGATTTCCAGCAGCATGCCGGTGATCTTCCCCGCCAGCGACAGATGCATGCCTTGTATCAGCGGGAAGAGACGCTCGCCTGAAACGCGCAATGCGCGCGGACGAAAGCGAAACCGGCGAGGGGGGGTCAGGGGGGAAGAGAGAAAACATTTTAGTCAAAAAAACATTCCAGATTAGGTGTGACCAATGCGCAAAATGTCCACTCAAAACTTTTAAACGACGATAGCAAATATTAAGTGATCAACCGTGGTTAAGCTGGGTTTGTAGCGCAGTGTACCAACCATCGTGCCACCACATCCCCTCCCTCCCTTGTAAGAGTAAGACCATTGCCTGTTTAAAAGAGATGCCAATCGCAGGTGCACCTGCTCAAGAGTTGGGATGGTTATAGTCATCAGTCAAGGGTGCAGAATGGACTTCATGACTTACGCAAAACTGCCAGTTTAAAGAATGTGACAACGCAACAGCAGCTAATTTAGCACAGGTTACTATCCAGGCCACAATACATGCATCACATACTGCGTTTTATTAAATAGACTACTTCCAATTAAGCATGTGGTAATTGGTTCACATGACCCCCGGAAGTTACTAGAAATACAGCAATGGCAGCACAAATAATTGATTCTTTAACGTAATCGTGACGCCCCAAAAAGTTACAATTCACAAATCGTCACATGCCTAGTAACTGCGTACAGTACAGAGCTATTTATACGGATGGTGGTAAGGCTCACTGGATTGTGTAAAGGTGCAACACTGCTCTCTCCTGGCCACAAGAGAACAACGTCTTTCGAATACAACCGCTAAATAAATCTTAACGCTGCACGCAGAGACCCCGCGTGCTAAAACGGTCCAGCCAATATTTCAAGCTCCTCGCGAGCCAAGCCAAGCGATAAATCCAGCCGCTCTATAACCCCCGCGCGTTAAAATAGAATAATAAATCTAACGTCCCTATAACCGCAGCGGCTAAACCAAACTCATAAATCCTGCAATTGTGAAAATCCCCCCACCCATCCCCTCCCCCCACCCCCCAAAAAAAAAAAAACACAAAAAAAAACGCTTACGGGCGACGATAAAGACGCAACCACAGTCTCTCCTTCTCCCCCTTTCACCGGTGGGGCTCAGTGTTCCTTAGGCACTCGCATCAAAGCCGACATTAAACTCTGATCGCTGATGGAGTAAGCGCCGTCACGTCAAGGTCCCCCCCACCACCACCGCCCAATTTGCGATCCCATCCATATGCTCGCTCAGGGCTCCATGTGCCACCTCCTCAGTTACCGGACACCCCCTCCCACTGTCCGCCCACCCCCACCCCTACTTACAGGCAAGGTCAGCACGCTAACTACTAGTACTACGACGACTCGCAGATATTTAAAAAAAAAAACATTCTGTTAAGTCGAGAGCAAGATTCTGACCGGATCAGTCCACTGGTTCAGAATCAGAATATTTATTTATCCTGGAGAAATCCAATGAGCTATGAAGGTCTCAGAAAGTTACAATAATACTAAAACACAGATAGAAGTGAAAAGTATGGGAAAGGTCAGTAAATCGCTTAAAATAAAATGTGAAATTGATAAAGTATACAAGTTCAAATTGCATTATTACACCAATTCCCAAAATTGGTCAAGGCAGCAAAACAAGGTTCAACGTCATAAGGAAAACTGTGGCACGCGATGTATGCCCAATACTAGTAAAAAATATACAATTACTGTGCAATTGTACAATTAGTGTACAATGCACAGTGTATTTCCTGCTGCTCTGTTGACTAAATTATAAATTATTTCGGGTGCTCAAAGAAAATTCATATTAAAAGTTCATAGCAGCTGTTGCATCGATCCCACCAAATCACCCTCCTCCCCGATGCCACATTCCATAACCGCTGCAAATGTTACATTCGACCTGCGAGGTTCGGGTATACACTGCACCACCCGTCTGACTTGCGTGGTCTTCCCCCGGTTGCCGACCTGTGAATGCCACTCCAATGCCCGTGTCGGTCCTCTGCCCTCCCCTCTCCCACCCGTCCCCACACGTGATCCCCCACCCGTCGCAACGTCTTGCTCCCTTCCCCGGCGATCACATCCACAACAAAAAACACTTTCTTCCTCCGTATCGATTCCAGACCCCTTCGAGTTGCTCGCCCCCGGATCCTATCACGAGAATCCTCCTGTACGCGCGCCTGCACCCGTAGTGTGCAAGAGCGTGCGAGCGTTAACCGTGCAGAGGGGTGGGGGGTGCTAACGCATGGCCCACTCACCCAACATCTGCTTCTGCTCCTGGAGAGGGGCAGACGCCAGCATCGATGGAGTCAGCGGCTCCTGCCCATGCACGTGGACGGCCTGGTGCATCTGGACACGAATCGACAGACAAGGGGCAGCGAGCGGGTCACGTCTCCGGCAACGCGTGTAAAGCCACGGGCGGCGGAAAAGCTACCGAAGAAGTCCACAGTGTCGGGCGTTGGCTCGTTGCGCAAGACCGCCTCCCCCGACGCGTTATCAGGTTGCACCCGCCGTGTGTCATTTCGGTACGATGTGAAAAGTGCAAAAGGGGCAAGGGGGGGGGGGCGAATAGTCGCAGACTTTAAAATCGTTTCACGGTACAAGCCGAACGCGCGCGTCTGCCTAAGCGAGCTATCGTCCGGTCACCCAACAATGACGGCCATTTATTTTTCCCTGGTGAAGGGGACGTGAGTGTGGCCAGGCGGCTGCATGGCATCAGATGGCGACATGGTCATTTTTAACCCCTACACCCTCTCCCGGCAGACACATTTAAGGCTTCACCTTCAATGCTTCAATTATCGTGTGGACAGTTGTGCTTTTCAGCGCCAGTGTTGTGCGCGTTACGTCAAGTGAATAGGTTCATGCTGCACGTGGACGATCCACTTCCAGGGCCGAATTCCGTTCAAGTCAGTCGACTTCAATGTACAGATACAAGCGAATACTATAAATTGTACATATACGTAACATACAAACATGAACGTGGCTCACCAAATTAATATTACGGACCCACGCGGCCTGCATCTACGGACCCACGCAGCCTGCATCTACAGGGCCACGCAGCCTGCATCTACAGGGCCACGCAGCCTGCATCTACAGGGCCACGCAGCCTGCATCTACAGGGCCACGCAGCCTGCATCTACAGGGCCACGCAGCCTGCACTAACAAAGCGTCACGAGGACTTGAATGGCACTCACCTGCTGCATATGGCCATGAATCGGGTTGCGCATCGGCTGGCCGTACTTGTAGGCACCCACATTCCGCGGTCCCATGCCAGGCATCGCTCGGGGTCCCAGCGTCTGCGTCGCAGCTGCAGGAAAAACACAAAGCGCCGCAAGAGAAAGGCGCTCGCACTTGCGGCCAAGGACGGTGATGCGCGAGAAGATTGCAACGAGATGGAAATGAAAAAAAACCAAAAACGCACGAACAAAGTTAAACACGGGATGTGAAAAAGGCACTCGTGTCTTTCGCTCGTTGCAGATCGAGGTATGAATCAAACTTCACTTTGAAAAAATCCCCAGGGTGGTTCAGTGCACTGCTTCGAGTGTCCGCACACAAAGCACAAACCCAATTCTACCAGTCGCCGTCACGCCAACTGCACAAACGTTCGCCCAAGACTCGCACCCCGTTTTCAAATTATATTCAACTTTACATCATCCGCCAAATTGAGCAAAGCTCGAGTCTGTGTCAGGACTGCAGTGGAGATGGTTTTTGAATAACCAAGCTAATTTGAAACCTTAACTAACCAGTGTAAAGAACGGGAACGTATTGCAATTGTGTATTTCAATCCAACAGAATATTGTAATGCGCAGAATAATAGTAAAAAAGCGTAACGATATGGGAAAAACAAATAAATCCAGACTCCAAAAGTGAAGTGGACAATACTGAAAAACAACCTAATCAAAAAAAGGACAGAATGCAAACATGGGTCAAAGTTATAATGGTTGTGCTGCTAAGTGCCAACTGCCATGCCCTCTTGAACACCGGGCTTGGGAGAGCAATGGGACAGCCAGAGAGAAGATTTGGACTACTGGCAGCCATGCCGATATCGACCAACCTACCCAGCGAACACGCCAAACATATTCCTACAGAGGATTCGCACAACTACCATGGCGGAGAGAGGCATGAAGCCGGCACTGGCCAGAGTGCTTCTGTGCACTCTTTGCGGAGGCAAAGGGCGGTGAAAAGAACCGGACATCTGTCATGCACTCCCGAGAGCAATATGACGGACGTGGCACAGACACCGCTGGACTCGCCATCTCGCCGCTGTTGAGGCGCCATGGTGGCGAGATGTTAATTACCTCGCCTGGTATACAGGAGGTCGTGCAGTTCCATCCCAACCCTGACGCCTGTATATTTGGAGTTTGCATGTTCTCCCCGTGGTCGTGTGGATGTTTCTCCGGGTGCTCTGGTTTTTCCCTCCACATATAGAATCAACATGCGTTTGGAGTATTTGGCTGCAATCAATTTCCACATAAGCCACTTTGTTGAGATATAATTTGTGGCAAAGTCACTTCTGAAAAGTGGTATATAGCTCAGTGGGATTTACCTGGTAAAAAAAAAGTTTAAATACTTCGCTTTGAGAAGGGGTGGGAGACCTTTTTCTTACCGAGGGCCCAATAGGACTGCACATCAACAAAGACAAAGATCCCCGTATAACCTGGAGAGACTTGGGGAAAGTGCTGTTAGCGAGCACCTACGGAGGCCGGCACAGCACACCAAGTGGAAGATGGCCAGCGCCATGCCCAGCCGCCTTTGTCTCCCCATTGGCGATGTTTACACATCGCACCAGGTACTCATTGAGGCCGGGTCGAGCTAAGGGAGGCCCGGAACCGGTTCAGATAATAGTCTGGCGTTGGCCGTGAGCGGGAACGGAACTCGGGCGGTCGGGTTTGTAAACGCAGCGCACGCCAACCACTGCACCACTGTTCCCCAAGACACATTACATACAAACACACACCTTGGGTGACTTCTGTTACTGCAAGAGGTGCTCGCAGTGCCAAGAGTGAAGAAGCATGCCAATGAGAAAGTGTGTCTTTTCCAGGTCAAAAATCTCCCCTACCCCCGCCTCCCACCAGTTTCCAATTTATGCAGCTAAGACGCTTGCAGCGACGGGTTAATATCATTGGTGGGCCGTTTCAAAGTGGTAGGCCTTGCGTCGCCATGGGCGGGTATCAAAAGAGTTGCGGGCGACGTCTGGCTCAGAGCCGTAGGAAATGACGATGCGGAGCCCCCGTCCCCGTATGAAATGAGTCCCGGGCGTTGTCTGGCCCGTGCGCCATGAGTTCCCCCCCCCCCCCAACCCCCTGCTTTAGAGAATCGCGAGGGCAGCTCTCACCGACGCGATGTCCACCGGGGATGGATCGTACAATCTGCGTGTTGGTGATGGGCGACATCGTCCGGATGGGGGGCTGCTGCTGTTGCTGCTGCTGCCTTGTGCCCGACTGCCTCATCATGCCTCCCTGCATGCCCTGGTAGCCACCTGCCCTCCGCCAGCAACAGGGACCACAATATGCACCGCGGTTAGTTCGTCTCCGCAAGGGGAGATTGCTCTAATCATGGTCCTGTTAAATATGTGTATGTTTTAAGTGTATGCTCTAATTTTTTTTTGTTCTGTCCATGCTATTCTTGATAGTTTGGAGGTTTGCGCAAGGTTACGGACTGCCTTACATCTGCATGCACTATTGCAGGGAAGGGGAAAACGTTAAGAGACAACGTTCGCCTAGCAGCGAAGCCCGCCACACGCAACGAGGCTGCCGACCGGAACAAGACAACAACGGCTTCGCCATTCAGCGGAACGAACACAGGTGCCGCCTGCAGACACGCGCACGCGCTGCTTGCAAGCACCGGTGCTAACACGCGATGATGCCAAAGCATCGTCGGACCGCAACCTCAACTGCTCTGCAGCCGAACCACGGGCAAACACAAACGCTAAAGCACGCGATGAATTCAGAGCCTCTGCGATCAGTGCGAAAGAGACTGAAATTGGGTTCACGATGAACGTGTGCAAGAAAGCCCAATTCCACTCTGCAGCAGGTGATGGACTGACAGACCCCACGCCTTGCGGTTTCAGACGCCTCCTAGCGCAAGTCTCACGTTAACAAATCGCAGTGGCGATAAAACTCATGCCATTGGGACAGAACCAGGAGCCCCCCCAAAACCCACCCTCCCTTCCCCGTCCCTCACCCGCCACCCGCGAGCTTTCCAAAGTGAAGTTTAATTCATCCCCTCGTGCGCATGCGTGGTGGAGCCTTGGGGAAGGCAAGGCTTCTTTTTCTTACCCTGCGGACGGACCTGCTGTGTGGGCCAGCGCTGCTGGGGCCGAATCTGCGTCATCTGGTTGGGCGCGTAGTACGCCGTGCGAGTCTGCGCCTAGGCAACAACGCCACAATCTCCCTCAACAACTTACGAGTGACACAGCTGAAAAAAAAAAGTCTTCTCGCAACGGTCACGCCAGGCGTGCAAAGTTTCACAGCATCGCAGAGCTCATCACCGACGTAAAAGAACTCGCCGTGGGTGAGGCCCGCTGGTGCAGCGGACGTTTGACCATACTTCACCAAGCTGCTCAGCGCGGGTCGGTGAAGGCAACGTGTATAGACGGTGGAAGCATAGAAGTGCAGTTTGACATTTAAATTTTGCTGACCGCGTATGGTGGTCACCCACTCAGCTGAGCCAATTAACAATAAAACACACAACTTAAATTATAAACGCAACTATTTGAATTCCTAGACCACTGCTGCAACAATATCACCAACGCAACTCGTAAGCAACCTATAAAACATCATTATATCATAACACTAACACGAGGCTATCTACCGTAATTATAAATCATAACGTTGTAGGTGAAGTACATACAAATATAATAAGACCGTTTAACACCACCCCAAGTCTCCCTGATGAAATCATTGCTCGTCGTCACTACCCTGGGAGATTGCTTATAATTTCTACGAGAGCTTTTAGTCCCGCAAATCTCTGCATGACCCGCCAATCCTTGCACCGAAAAGTGTTCTATATTTAGAGTTCCACATCGCTCCCGGGGTAGTGATTAGCAAAACCACACTTAACCTGGCTACCAGAGTTCGATTCCTGGTCACAGAAAAAAAAAAGTAGCAGCAATAATCCAACTTCTACCTACCTACTCCCCCCCCACAGCCCCGTACTGACCAGCAGGGTTAAGCATGGTGAAGACATTTCCCGTGACAAACACGGCGTGCGGGGAAGGCCTTGATCCAGCAATAGATTTTATAAATGTATCTTTCGTTTTTACTACTGCTACCTTGGGGAAGTGGGAGGTGGGAGGGGGGGAGGTCCCTGCACATATTTAGCGGCACAAACGCTGGCATCCTTCAACAAAAAAACGGACAAAACTGCATTGCTCGGTGAGCTGTGTCACCTGGGGCATGGCCGGCACGAAGTAGCCGCTGGGAGCAGCCGGCTGGTACTGGCTGATGACGGTGTTGGGGGGCAGTGCGCGCATGCCGGCGATCCTCTGCATGTACTGCGACGTCAAGTGGGCCTTGCGCTCCTCCTTGCGCTGCGCCAGCGCCACGTACAGCGGCTTGGAGCCTACGATGCGGCCGTTCATCTCCGTCACGGCCTTGGTGGCCTCCTCTGGCGAGGAGAAGCACACGAAGCCGAAGCCCTTGCTGCGACCCTCCTCCGACATCACCTGCGGCGGAGCGGGGGCGAGAGCGAGTTAATATCGTTTAAGTGACGCGAGTAGTCGCGTCCTTTATACTGAACTAAGAGTTAAGATGAAGACCTGTCGAGCAGCGTGAAACACTGTCGCCTCTCTGTTGCAAAACCGACCCGAGTTACAGCAAGTCATTTTGAACATGACAGAATTAAAAAAACTTGCGATTCTAGACCGTATCGAACAATAATTTTATAAAAATTCGAATATCGCCAAGCAATTAATGTGCATTGCACTTCATTTATTTGATTTATTTTTAGATTTGATGTGTCCAAGCTACTAGGTGGTACAGGAGCTGTTTCCCCCACCCTTCACACATCCCCGCCACCACCCTGTGCATTCGGGCAAGTCCGCAGGAAGTGCGGTGGGGGGAAAAGCAGCTCACCTTGGTGCTCGTGATGGTGCCGTAGGGAGCAAACTCCTTGCGCAGTTGTTCATCGTCGATGTTGTCGTCCAAGTTCTTCACGTACAGGTTGACGCCCTGACGAAGCCAAAGAGTCGCCGTCAATTATCGTCGCGACCGCGTTTCCTCGAAACGCGCTAATATGTGCACGTGCGAACCACTGTATTAAAGCTTATAATGACGCACCTATTTAAATGACTACGTGAGCAACACGTGCACAATTGTGCATGGATCAGGGAATCGATATTTATACATTGTGGCTATAAATGGTGTAAATGACTGCCAGCAGCCATTAGGCGCTATATTCAAAACCTCCCCCCACCACCTCAAATGATGACAATTCATCGCATTGCATGGAAAGTGCAACTCCAACCGCGTCCGGCAGGGCGACGATGCATTGGTTAGAGCAGTGGTTCTCAACCAGGGGATACGCGAACCTCTGGGGGTACGTGGCAATGTCCCAGGGCGAACGCGAATAATTTGTAAATGTGTGAAATGACATCGTACATGAGTCATTGGTAAATAATCATGTACGAATCTGGCAATATAAAATACCTACGAAAATATTTTTATCCATGTGGCAACCTATAACAATTTAAAAGACCTTTCTAAACTCACCGATTGTAAACAATGTGGGGTTTTTCCAAGAGCAACTGGCGAGCACGCACAAATTTCGTCACGCATGCAGTGCCGCCCGTTGAATTATTTTTTTTTATCCGCTTGCAGTTATTGGCTAGTTAGGATACCTCACAAAATGGGCAATTGGTTCAAATACCGATGATCATTGAGACATTTAAGGGGGTTACTCTTGTCAGACATCTCCTTTAGCAATGGCAAAATATAGTAGGTTTTTACCCTTTCAACTGGTACAAAAACTGACACCTTTATACAAGGCTTCATGTTTGCAATAACCACAATACAAGCAGTCAAAATGCAAACAAAAAGAAACAACTCTGATGATGATAATGATATGCACTGTCGTTGAAGTTGATTGGTCCACACCCGAGACAGCTTTTCTTAGAGGCGTACGCCTTTTTGCGTCATCTGGTCCAACACCAATGGAGACTAGGCTCTAAGAAAAGCTGTCTCGGGTGTGGACCAATCAACTTCAAGGACAGTGCATATCATTATCATCAGAGTTGTTTCTTTTTGTTTGCATTTTGACTGCTTGTGTTGTGGTTATTGCAAACATGAAGCCTTGTATAAAGGTGTCAGTTTTTGTACCAGTTGAAAGGGTAAAAACCTACTACTACTGGGGTTACTCTTGGTTGAAACACAACTCAACAAGGGGTACCCCCCCCCCCCCCCACAGTTGGCTCAGCTCTGCCCTCGTGCCTGGAGGGGCAGGGTGGGGGAACTCACCTGGTATCTGCTAATCCTCTCCTGCTTCAGCATCTCAAATTTGCGCTTCAGCTCAGCCTGGCGTTCGCCCTTTTTCTGCGCCCGTCCCACGAAGACGGTTCTCCCGTTCAGCTCTTTACCGTTCATCTCATTCACCGCCTTCATACATGTAAAAAATAGACACACCGTTAGCAGAGTAACGAGCGACTGCACAAAGCAAACTGGCAAATTAAATTAGGTTTTAAATCGAATTCGGCTTAGGATTACCATTCTTCAACCTCGGGTGTGCCCAGGATCAGCTTGGATATTTGTCTCGGATGTTATACACGATCAAGAATCCAACTCGGGCCTCCGGGTTCTTTGCGCAGTGCGTGAACGACAACACGACCGCAACCCACACAGCTTTAGAAGTCAAGACAAAGATCCCCCATGTCTAGCTTTAACAGACTGTGAGGGCAAGTGTTGTTTGCAAGTAGCACCGATGAAGGCAAGTACGGCGCACGAGGGTGGGTGGCCAGCACCACGCCTGGCCGCCTTTGTCTCCCGAGTGGAAATGTTTACAGATCGCCCCAGGTACTCATTTGCGGCCGAGTCGACCTAGGGGAGGCCCAGGAACGGTTCAGGTGGCCGTGAGAGTGAATCGAACTCTGGTCGACGGGTTCGTAGCGCAACGCAGCGCAAACCACTACACCACCGCTCAAAACGAGACAAAGATCCCCCATTTAGCCTTAACAGACTGTAGGAGCAAGTGCTGTTATAGCGAGCACTTATGAAGGCCGGCACGGCACACGAGGGGGTGAGTGACCAACACCACACCCGGCCGCCTTTGTCTCCCTAGTGACGGTGTTTACACATCGCACTAGGTACTCATTTGAGGTTGAGTCGACCTAGGGGAGGCCCGGGACCGGTTCAGATAATCGTCACTGGTCTTGGCCGTGAGCGGGAATCAATCCCGGGTCGCCAGGTTCATAGTGCAGCACGCTAACCGCTACACTACCGCTCGGACACATACACACGTGGCAGGGCAAGCCGGAGCCAAGATGGCTGTTTTAATGCGTTAGGGGTGGGGGGGGGGGGGGGGAGGATAAACATCGCACCCGCTGCGCGTCTTCGTGTCGCTCGAAGCTCACAAAGCCAAATCCGCGGGATTTTCCGCACTCGTCGGACATCACGCAAACGCTCAGAGCCTTCCCTGCGAGACAGAAACACGGCCGTTAGGGTCACAAAGTAGGCAGGCTCTCGGGCTCAAATTCCAAAAAAAAATGTTTTTCTACACTTAAATTGGTTACATTATTCCAGCTCTGAGAATTAAAAATATCGGATTGACCATCACGTGGCAAACGTTACTTAGGTGGTACGGCAGGTGGGTATAGACTAAAACTATGCACTCAGATACTTGTGCAATATACATTTTCACGAGGACGATATATTATATTTGAAATTAAAACACCACATTAATTAACACTGCCCAAAAATGAAATAAATATATATTAGGCAACGTTTCAGACAATGGTCCTTCTTAATCATTGAGGGAAGGGCCTTTGATTTTCATGTCAAGTGTGTATTTTCCTCTTTCTACGACGCCGTTAATGACACGCGTGTTGAGGTTTTCCGATTCGAGCACCACTGCCCGCACCTCCGAAGAGCGTGGTTTGGCTACGTAGGGTGCGAAAGAAGTTCCAAAATACATCAGTCACAATAAACACAGCAAAATTCCGCGTTATATTCAGGCAGCAGCGTTGAACGATATCTATTAACGCAGCACGAAACCAGTCATTAAAAGCATCCGCTTGCTATCTTTTGTCCAACTGCACCTAGCGCCTCTACAAAAGCAACTACTCGCGCCCCCCCCTACCCAACAGCACGAGGTCACAGGAAGGGATTTGGCAGCGCGTCACGGATTACGGCACCACCAATCTCGGTGGAGGGGAGGGGCGAAATAGAAAAAACGGAGTTCACCGCAGACCGCCAGCCAAAATCGGCATTAAGACGGGCAGTCGCCGCAAACTCACCGAACTTGCCAAAGAACTCTCGGAGCTTGTCCTCGTCCATGTCGTCGCCAAAGTTCTTGATGTAGACGTTGGTGAACTCCTTGGCCCTCGCGCCCATCTCCTGCTCGCGCTCCTTGCGTGACTTGAAGCGCCCGACGAACCTGCAACCGCGAGCGCATGAAGGGCGTTTGGTCATCGTGCAAAACCGCGCGGAGACTCGGCCGCGGACACAGTTTGATTCAACAGTAGATCCCCCCGTTTAAAGCTTTCGTGACTGCAGGGATTCATATTATTCGTTCTTTCGGTAAAGTCACGTAGAAGGGAAATAATAAAGATATAAAATAAAATTCACGATGTTTCGACTGCACGAAATCCACAGCTAAATTTTCTTGGCGTGGATTTCACACCTGATGATGATTGCTTGTGTTGCAGTCGAAACGTCGTGAGAATTGTATTGTTTAATATTTTTATTATTTTATTATTTCCCTTCTACGTGACTTTACCGAAAGAACCAAGAATATAGTAGATCCCTTCTGAGTCTGATTGGTAACATTCTTAGCATTGTCCATCTCATTTCGCACCATCCCATTCGTACCACCCGTCTCATTTCCGTTTACATTATCCATCTCACACCGAGGACCGTTCACATTTTGGCAGCCTTTACTCCAGAGCACTGGTGAGACACGGCCATAAAGAGAGGATGTCTCTGGTGTCGGCGAATCTGTTTCAAGTACAGTGCTATACATTATCAAAGCGTATGTTTGCATGTTTTTTACCACATCTATGTGAATTTAATGCAGGCTTGACACCTTGAAATAGGTGGCCCTTTGGTGTCCAAACATCTTCACACCTACTGTATTTATGCCAGCGGAAAGCCTTTTCCATCATTCAATATCTTAATGCTGGAAACGGGGTCTCCCGTAGATGCCACGCTTGTCGCATTCCGACTGTTATGACACAGTTATAACTCAGGCGGCGGCACGGATTGCAAGGAGCCAGACGCCACAGTGACCTGGCATGCACATTCATGCAGAAAGATAAAGATCCCCCGTATAGCCTTCGCAATCTGTTGTGGCAAGTGCTGTTGGCGAGTAGCACCAACAAAGGCGGCACAGCACACGAGGGGGTGGGTGGCCAGCGCCAGGCCCGGCCGTCTTTGGTCACCTCCAATGCTGACGCTTACACATCACACAGAGTACTCATTTGAGGCCGGGTCGACCTAGGGGAGGCCCAGGAACAGTTCAGGTAATCGTCACTGGCATCATCCGCGAGTGGGAAATCAAACTCTGGTCGCCGGGTTTGTAGCTCAGCGGCGCCAACCACTGCACCACCACCCCAACAACCGCCATTCGCCACTAAGTGCCGGTGACGTCACCAAAACGCTTGTGCCAGGCCATGTGCAACTTGAGGCCATGTGCACCTTGAGGCCATGTGCACCTTGAGGCCATGTGCACCTTGAGGCCACGTGAAGTGTCGAACGCCCGCTGGCAGGAGGTCACGGGGCAGACCCAGGTGCCACGGGTCGACTGACTGAGATGACCGAGATGACTGGCTGATGCACCACCTGTGCCAACTTCCACCCCCCCCACACACACTCGCGCAAACTCACACTTTGCGGTCGTTGAGCAGCATGCCGTTCATCTTCTCGATGGCACGGTCGGCCGCCTCCTGCGTCTCAAAGTGAACGAAGCCGTAGCCCCGGGAACCGTTCTCGTCACACACGACCTGCAGGAAGGGACCAAATGTTCACGATTCGATTAAATTATGGGTTGCTCGGCTACGTTCACGATCAGACCAAAATTCGTGTTTTTTCAGAACCCTCACGGCCAAACGAATTGAATTGCCGCGTGTGCCAACGTTCAACGAGTCGCTTAGTATGGTTTTCCGCTCGCATGCAAGGTGAAGAACCACTCAACCAAACTAAGCTATTAGACAGACGATGCTTTGTTTGAAACTACGTCGAGCATCATCAGGAAATGATAGAGGAAGTTAGAATCACGACCCAGAGGTCATGAACTTGTAGCAACAACCATTCAGAACTTACTGGATATTAACCAATACAACTTCATTCTAATCTGTCTGGGAATACCATACACAGTAAAACCTTGGATTGCGAGTAACTTGGTCTGCGAGTGTTTTTCAAGACGAGCAATTTTTTTTATAAATATTCATTTGATAAACGAGCGAGGTCTTGCAATACGAGTAGTGCGTGTATACGCTTTTCTGCCGAGCGTCACGTGATCACAACTGATATACGAGTGCTTTGGATTACAACACGTTTCCGGAACGAATTATGCTCGCAATCCAAGGTTTTACTGTACTTGTACAGATTGGTCCGTCATATAGCCAGATGGCAGTGGAGCAATAGATTCTGGAATCTGTGGGGCACCATGAACAATGCAACTGCGGTAAGTTCACGGTTGTGATCTATAGCTCTGATGCATTTTCAAAATAATTTCTCAAGAAGCTCCTAGAACGTGGCGCGAAACGTCAGACATCATGCTGAACAATTCAAAAACACATCAGGGAACTCTTGATTGTTATCCCGTTGAATGGGTGGTGGGCCTTTCTCCAGATACTCCAGTTTCATTTCACGAGCCAAACATGCATCGGTGGAATCGGCCAAGCATTGCACAATTATTTTTCAGGGCTCTCCTGAAAAAAAGCTTCTTAAACTCAGCAAAACTTTCCTCTATTAAATACAGGAAGTCCTCGCTGAACCATTTTTCACACGACGCATCGTCTCAAGAACACGGTTCTTCTATTAGGGAACACCTTTCGCATACAACGCGGCCAATTTTTACGCAGTTTCTGAGGGGTCGTCAACTCAACCACTTTCTTGAGCTGCGCGGCTGAGGGGTATGGGAAGTCTAGGCATACGTGTGGAATGGTACAGTACGTGGCATACCCTCATCGCCCCTCAACCCAAAACAAAAAAAGCAACCACCTCCATCTGTGCAGAAAAAAATTGGATCTCATCGGTTCCAACTAAAGGAGAGCGTGTCCCCCCACCCTCACAGCTGTGGGTTTTCTCCGGGTCCTCCAGTTTCCTCCCTCGTGTCAATTCATTAATAGGCTGATAACTGGAATATATAGGATCGCAGAGCTTGGGCAATTGCTGGCACAGGCTCGTCACATGCCTGCCTCCCTGCCTTCTCCGTTTGTCCTCCTGGTGCCTCCTGAGTCGTTCTCTCCTATTTTGAGTGGTGGGTGGGTGAGTGTGGGTGGGTGAGTGTGGATGGGTGAGGAGCGGTAGTGTAGCGGTTAGCACTACGCTGCGCTACAACCCGGCGACCCAAGTTCGATTACCGCTCACGGCCAACACCGGTAGTGACGATTATCTGAACCAGTCATGGGCCTCCCCCCTAGGTCGACTGTTTTGGTGTGTAAACATCGGCACAGGGGAGATGAAGGCGGCCAGGTGTGGTGCTGGCCACCCACCCCCTCGTGTGCCGAGCCGGCCTTCACAGGTGTTCACTAATAGCACTTGCGCCAGTCTGTTCAGGCTATACGGGGGATCTTTGTCTTTGTGGGCATGGGTGGGTGATTTGAGGCAATTGTTGGCGCAGGCCTCTTCACGTGGACGTCTCCCTGCCTTCTCCGTTTGTCCTTCTCCTGGCACCTCGGGAGCCATTCTCTCTCTCCACGAGAGCGAGCGCATGCAGTGCCGCGCTACGCGTGAGCGACGGGTTACCTTGCAGGACAGGATGTTCCCAAAGGCGGAGAAGGTGTCATACATGGCCTTGTTGTCGATGGATTTGTCGAGATTCTTGATGAACACATTGCCGACGCCCGACTTGCGGAGGGACGGGTCACGCTGGGACCACATGATGCGGATTGGCTTTCCCTTGATGACGTCAAAGTTCATTGTGTCCAGTGCCCGCTCGGCTGGGAGAAGACAACACATGTCTAAATTCAAACCAGATGGGAGACAAAAAAAACACAAAAACAAAAGGTAAGTAAAAGATGGGGGCAAAAACACAGTGCAGCACAGCAACAAGTTCGACCCGCACCCACATTTTTTTCATTACAATATTTCGTCCGAACAAAAAAAACTCCCTTTGAGACAGAATGCGTCTCGTTTGCGCAGGTGCTCAGGGTGTCGATCGATAGCATGCATAAGCAAACATGTCATGACATGTACAAACACACCTTTTAAATATATAACTTATGCATTTAAAAACAATGAATATTCACACCAGGTGACGCCATAACACCATAGACGGGCAAAGACACACGCACACTTCCAAGTGCCTGCTTTTATTTCACGTCAGCTTTTATCATATTACAACGCACTGCCAAATGCTATAGATTGGGCTCCATCTGCAACAGTTTCCACCCCTCCACCAATCTATGCCCGTTGCCAATTATGCTAAATGGCATCAAGTTTGCGTGGCAAAGTAGCCATTCAAATCTCTCACAGGGCACTGTGGTTAACAAAATAAACGAACTTGCATTTGTCGCTACATATCCATGTTTCATATTTTCTCGACCATTAGACTATTGGCCTTCTGAACCATTATTATCCAGCATCATTTAAGCAGACAATTCTGGACTGTGTTGACATCAGCACGTGTTCAACAAGTCTCACAGGAGCAACTCATCTCATACACACGTACCTAGCCAGTGTCCCTGGTTGTCCGATACGCGAGAAGCTTCGTAAAGTAGAAGGAAAAAAAACGATAAAAATAACTACGGCAGGCTGCCACAGTGTTCTAGCGACGTCACTGCAAAACGTGCCCTATCAATTTACTTTACGTCGCAGTCGCGTTTCAAAAGTGGTGCTGATGAATGTGAATATGATCCTTTGTTTTTTTCAATAATAAAACTTCAACATGTAGAATAACACAGGCTGCGTAGATACCTACACGAGCCGTTTCCTTTTTCAAGCGAGATCTTCCTTTCGGTGGCAGTGTTTCGTTTCGTCAATTGTGTTTTAACTACCTTAACTGTAGGCCACAACATTTTCTCTGAGTCTTTTCTCCCAGTTGTCGACTTTTGAATTCCCCTCCCATCGTCTCGTTTCCCACAATTTCTTAAAACCCTCGCGCAATGCATAATAGCAACGTGTAAAGTGTTTTCTATTACAACTTTGAACAAGCTTTGTGTTTAGTTTGTTGTCCCCCCGCTGCACACCTCTGATTAGCAGAGCTGGTTATGTACGGTGCAAAAGTGCAACATACATACATACGGATAGTGCTGTTTGTGTTGCCAATCACTTGACATTTTGGGGCCTGTGCTCAGCAACTGCGTACTAAAAGATAAACTGTGGGAGAGCACAGGTGGCGTACGCACGTGCCAGCCATCTGAAGTCATTTAACCCATTACCAGCTGTCGTGTACCCACTGCCAGCGGGGCATCCCACACTTCACATGACCTCAAGGTGCACTTTACCTGGCTCAAGCTGATTTTAGCTAGGTTTATTTTGTAATCCACCTGGGGTAAGAGCGCTGTGGGCATGGCAGTCCCTCTGCCCTTCTACTGACTCCACCCCCCTCACCCTGGGTTGATGAGACTGTGGCGCTGATTATCTTTGCCACTGCCCGACCCAAATTTCACGGTCCTCCCCATCTGCATTCCTGCCACGCGACCTCCTGACCATTACCCTTCCATCGTGTTTTTAATCGTGACATTGTTGTTGTTCGTACCAAGTGAGGACCGACTGGCAAAATCGTCAACTGGCACATTCGGATATGTCACCGTGGAGCCAATCGACACCAGAAAACGACACTGTAGTGGACCATAAACGGGACGTGACATGTACATGAACCTGGCAGCTCCCAAGACGAAACGATCGCACAACACTACTCGCCAACATTAAACTCGGAATCAAAAAACACCCAATGAACATCAGAGCAACATCTTACAGGTCGCTACATCAAAATAAAAATCTGTTATTTACATCTGGCCACAGGTAAAATTATAACATAAAGGCAACGATGACATTTGGCCTCTGCAATGCAACGAGAACAAAACATCGGACAAATAACGGACAATGAAATGTTGAACATAGCACACACCGACTTTGCATCCCATTATTTAATGGCTGACACAAGCCGTGGAAACAGCTGCATATGCAGAGTGAGCAATAAAGTCAGTCGAGTCAACACCAACATAGTCGGCAGCCGCTGTCAAAAGCCCCATGCGTTAAGGACGCAAAACATTCCGGCAACACCACGCCAACACGTCTCCATGTGGATACATGCGTCCGTGTCTCTCTCAGTGACTTTCTTCTCGGGGTCTCTGTCCCTCTTCTGTCTCTCCTCCGTGTCCGTGTATCGACGACGGGTCAATGTTCACGTGCCATTTTATTGAGGGACCGCCGTGTGTTATCTTGGTGTGGTCTGGCACTGTTTTAATGTTGTTTTTGCTGCCTTGCCCAAGCTTAATAAATCAGACAACAGTAATATAATTACGTATTTATTAATATTTAGTGACTTGGTTACCATTTTCTCTATTTTGCACTCCTATCGTGTTTTGCATTATTTGCCGTTGCAACTTTCCGACCCGCCCATACTGGACATCTGTGAAAAAGAGTTTCATAGCTCATCGGATTCCTCCTGCAGTCGAAATAAAGATTCTGATCCGCCCCTCTCTGTTCTGATCTCTCACTCTCCTCCATGTCTCCGTCTTTCTTCTCAATGTCGCCACCGCTCTCTCACTTACTCTCTCCACGTCTCCATCTGTTTCTGTGTCTCCGTTCTCTCTCTTCATCTCCCCGTCTCAGTCGAGGTCTGCCTCACATTTAGCACAATGCTAACCAATGCGCTTCTGAATATCACACCGTTTTGACACGCAAGATTATCTAGATTTAAGGTTTTTCAATTAAGCAAGTATAAATTACTGCACTTAAATGCAAGTGCGTGCAGGGGATGCCAGAAGATTCATGGAGATACAGGGTAAGCAACTTTTGAGAATTCACAGAGTATAAAATGGAAATAATGTTGCAGATGTCATCAAAAGGAGGTTATTACGATTTATAGGGCAAAATGTGCAAGATGGAGAACAGGTTACAAAGAGTAGCACCTAAAGGGCTGGCAAACAGGGGGATATCCTCAATCAGACAGTGATGATGAGATTGGATGAGTGGACATCCCAGGTTTAATTTTGAATTTGCAATCATGGTAAATAGGCAGGAGACACGCTAGCAAGGTGTGCGGTCGGAATCAGTTGCAACATCTGTAATGGTACCCTGATCTTAAGGGCCTATAAGGATAGTTACCAAACGTAACAGTTTTGGTTTAGCACTGTGGATACCGGATGATGGCACGCATTGTAACCAAACACGTCCAGTCTGTTTAGTCGACGAGGTAATTCAAGCAAGTTGTGATGTTCCATGCCAGCACTGGTCCTGATTTGTCATGTGGTTATGTAACCACGGCCTGTGTCGAGCCGAGAACTGATCCAGGGGCCATGCACCTGGATCACACCCTGGTAAAATGCCACGTTGCTTCAGAGCCGTGTGGCGAGTAGACCCGAGTATTAAAATGTCAATCGTAGAAAATGTAGTAGTAGTGGTGGTGTCAATTGGTCTCGCAACAGCAACATCCAGCTCATGGGTAAAGGTGCAGCACTGAAATTGCTTGATCACGCCACTGCAGGCAGAAGGGCATCCACGAAAGGGAGCTCTAGAGATTTGGTCTACTCTTCCACGCTGACTAGGCGTCTGGGAAAAGGTGGGCATACCAACACTTAACCCCGGATAGTCGGCTCTAGAGGCAGTGAAATTAGCAAGGCACATTAAGCTAAATTCACAACAAAAGTTGTGAGATGTTTGCAAATGATCTCAAAGCAGCATCGGCTCCACCGAATGCTGAAATACAAATGCACATCACTTTGCCAATCCATTGCTTCAAGTATTCTCCCACATCATGTCGGTCATGATGGTTGTTTGACCATACTTCACCAGTCTAGTCAGTGCAGATTGGTGAAGGGTGGGGCTAGAGGAGGGGGGGGGGAGAAACCGGTTTATATTTCACTTGCCACTAAATGGCGGTCGTGGACAGAAATCAAACTCATGCCGCCGGGCTTCGTAGCACAGTGCGCAAACCGCTGAGCCACCACTCCACTCCAGACCGTATGTTAGAATGGCTTCAATAGAAAACCTAAGCGGGAGCAATAAAAACAAATAACGCAGCAGCTGCCAGGCTCAATTGGCCAGGACGCATGCAGACGCAGTGACACGCACACAGCACTGGGAACGGGGAGAGATGGGGCTGAACGATTAATCGATTTCAAATCGAAATCGCAATTTGAAACAATGCGATTAGCAAAACGCAAAGGCTGCGATTTTAAAAGTCGTATTACTTTATTGGAATCGTTTTATTTTTCATTATTATAACTTTATTCATTTAACTTAACAATTGTTCTATGTTTGATTGTTCTATTTCAATTAAAACATTTAAATAATACATGTTGGAAGCAATTCATATATTTTAAGTTCTCATCCTTGCATTAGAATATATAGAGCAGTTCATATTTTGATGCTATCATGTGGGAATGCTCCATCACATGTTTTAAATCTAATACACAGTGAATATTTAACTGAAGCTTAACTTAAAATATTTAATCGCAATCATAATATCTGTCAGAAAAATTAGATATTTTCCCCAAATCGTTCAGCCCTAGGGAGAGAGAGCTGTTGGCTGGGGGCAAGACTCCGCAGAGAGTGCGCGTTACCCAGGGCTGTGCACCCAGAAGGCCCCATCTGACTGGCCAGGGAAACCAACTTCTTGGTCGGTCACCCACCATTCTAGTTGCTAGGGTATGGGGCGAGCTGTAGATGTCTGCCTTGACCCTGACCACTGGGTCTGGGTTATGTCTAGGAATAGCCTAGCGCGCAACACACTGTAAAGCTTGGTAAACAGACGCGCAGGGCCTAATTCTGACACCAGCATAGGATACGTTGCGGTGCAGCCAAAACCTTGATCGTGTTCGAGGTCTGCAGAAAACCCTAATCCTGGCACGGCCACTACGGAATGAGTCTCATGGACTGCCCTAATTGTGAAATGAGAGACGGCTGGTCCAATGGATAATACTGCAACTTAGCGTGCTCAAGTTTGGGAACAGCTAAAATGTGCATTTTGGAGCCAACACTAACATTTCTGTTGTTTCGAAGATGGGATTGGCCATAACCCTGACATTTTAAATCAGATAATTCCCGAGGAAGTCTTGAGCAGCATCGGGAAGCTGGTTATTTCCAGCCCTGATTAAATTGGGGTTACGAATTAGAGACAATCTCCTACACAACACAGGCTTCCGGAGGGAAACATATACTCCACTTTGGATCCAGTTCTAGCCGTGACACCAGTTCTAGACACGAGTTTAGGGACTGCCCTAAACCTCAGGAGACATCATGATGCTGCAAGGAAACACCTGACCCCAGAACCCCCAACCATTTTAAGGCTTAGCACGATCTCCAAGACCCGTTTCCGTTGGGTGTCCACATAAACCAATCTCCCAGCTAGAGAAATAAGTGGAGAATACTCCGGTAAAATACTAGAAAGCAGTGGATCAGACACTGGTTTAGGGCCGCAGCCGCTAGAGGGATATTGTACAGAACGACGGCCGACAACCTGAGGCTCTTTAAAGGGGACTTCTTCGTGATGTTAGCTATTAAAGACCCACCCCCGTCTCGTATCCAATTGCCACGCGGCTCTTGAAAGCCTTTTTTACAGAATTCGATCAAAACGGGCTCGTATTGTTACGTTCGATGCCGAGCCTTGGTTATAGAACACAGGGATAGCTGGTTAGGCAATGCCCTATCATCACCACAAGGAATAGGGCACTGGTTTACGGATTGCCCCCACAACCATGAGGGGGTGATGTGTTTTTATCCCCGTTTGAGTTGAATAAAAAACGAGATAGTACCCATCGCCGCTTGATACGTCTCGGACGTTACACAAACACCTCCAATGTGCCGTAACAACACGAGGCTGAAGCCAACCATAATAACACGTACAACCGGTTTGCTGTACAGTGTCAGCATTATCTCACAACACCATACACATTTGATCGATGCCAACCGTTGCTGTTGTTGATGATCATTATTACGACAAAAGGTAAGAAGCGATTCGTGGGGAGAGAACGGACAAGGTCATCGATACGTACCGTCTGCGGGCTGCTGGAAGTTCACGTAGGCATAGCCGAGCGAACGGCGGGTTATCATGTCCCGACAGACCCTGATGGATAGGACGGGCCCGGCAGGAGAAAACTTCTCATAGAGCATCGCCTCAGTCACGTCGGGGTGCAGGTCGCCCACGTACAGCGACGCCATCGGATAACTTGGTCCGCTCGGATTCATGGTCGTGGCGGGGTGGTGGGTGCCGCTTGGTTCAGCCGGGGGTAGACGCGCAGATTCCCGCAGGGAAACTAGGAAAGGTCGGTGGCTGCCCTGGCTCGCGGTCGATCTGTAGGCCCTGGGCGGTGTCGCAACGAACGCGGCGGTGTGGCGACAAAACTGCTGTTTCGAATTTGTAAAGCTTTTTTTTCTCCTGTTATTTCGTGATTTTTTTTGTTTTTATGTGTTTATTCACGTGTGTTAAAAAAAGAACCCCCGCAGGGACTCTTTTTCAAACGAGCACGTGTAGCGGGGATCAAGCTTAAGGGAAAAGTTGAAGAGAAGTAGTCCCCGGTGCGCAATGATTATATATAGCTGAGTATCCCTCCGCCGCGCACCTGCAATGGGAATAATTTCCGGCGCATCACCGCTAGACAATTAAGTGACGCGCCCCTAGGCGAGAGCACATGGCCTTTTAGCTTAACATGATTACCATACAATGTGCCAGGGTGGTCGAGATGTCTTGTGACCCCCAATTAATTGACTCGTAATTTCTACTCTTAGGTTCTTTCGGTAAAGTCACGTCGGTAATAAAAATAAAAAATATATAATAACATCAAATAATAATAAATGAAAAAACAGGACCCTGCGGGGTGGGCTGGTAGGAACGAATAACCAAAGAATATAAACATAATGTAGTATTACACTTAAGCTAGGAAAGCCCCACTGAGTCAAAAGGTTGTTGCCAAGTGTGTGCAGTAGGGGGTGATGTTGCTACACCAAATCGGACGATACGAAGGGAGAGATTGAGGCCTAGTTCTAGGCTTTAGGCCTAGCTGTAGGCTTTAGGGCGCTGTGAGTTAATTTTTAATTTAAATGTTTTAATGATTTATGTAAAAGCTTTACATTTAAATGTTTCTATTTAAAAACATGAGGGAATGTAACATTGTTAAACATAACTCCCTTTCACACACGCGGGGGTACGATACTAAGGGAGAGTTTGAGGCCTAGTTCTAGGCTTTAGGCCTAGCTGTAGGCTTTAGGGCGCTGTGAGTTAATTTTTAATGTAAATGTTTTAATGATTTATGTAAAAGCTTTACATTTAAATGTTTCTATTTAAAAACATGAGGGAATGTAACATTGTTAAACATAACTCCCTTTCACACACGCGGGGGTACGATACGAAGGGAGACTTTCAGGCCTAGTTCTAGGCTTTAGGCCTAGCTGTAGGCTTTAGGGCGCTGTGAGTTTTTTTATTTAATTTCAAATTTTTAATTAAAAAAGCTATTTCAGGTAATTATTAGGGCGCTGTGAGTTTTTTATTTAATTTAAAAGTTTTAATTAAAAGCTATCTCAGGGAATTATTAGGGCGCTGTGAGTTTTTTTTATTTAATTTCAAAGTTTTAATTAAACGCTATCTCAGGGAATTATAAGGGAATGTTACACGTGTTTAGCCAGGAAAGCCTCATTAATTTAAATGTTTTAATTAAAAGCTATCTGAGGGAATTATAAGGGAATGTTACACTTGTTTAGCCAGGAAAGCGTCAGAGTCTAAAGGTTTTTGTAGGGTCATGCCAAGTGTTTGCAGTAGGGGGCGATGTTGCTACCAGGATAGCGTCACTAAGTCTACCACCTGAAGACGGAGACTTGTGTTGCCTCCGAAACGTCGTGATTTAATTTATTTTCATTTGTTATTTTATTTCTATTATTTTTTTCCTGCATGACTTTACCGAAAAAAACCTAAGAGTATGACCCATAACTTTTACTGATGACGACCGCTTGTTTTTGTTTATTTTCTTTGAACCCATCTTCGTGACTTTACCGAAAGACCCAAATAACATAACTTTGTTTTATTCCTTCGCATATTTATATCTGTTTTAAATAAACATTTTTAAAATATATAAAATGTTAGTGAACTAAATGGGGGGTCACAAGACATCTGGATCACCCTGTACAGTTCAAATGTACAGTATGGTAACTTATGTAACTAATAAAATCCACATGTTTATAGACGTTGAATATATGAATATTGTTTACGTTTTATATCGATAAAATGAAAACAACGCGATTAAACAATTACAACTCTTGTCATAAAATATAAAATCAAAACTATTCTATGATAAGAAAATAAAACACGCCACACTTGTAGCCAATTTAAATTAAGTTTAGACAAATCTGGTCACCTCCAACCCTTTGATTTAAAGTGCGTCTCATACCGTAATCCCCAGAATACGTGTATTATTGCACGTTACTTATACATGATATTTAAAAACACACAAAGCAAATATACCAGATACTGTAATACATTTCCACATTACAATAACATGAACTTGTCACGGTTGTTTGAACTGTATACTCCTCGCTGGTAAATGTACGTTGGTTAAAATATAATTCGACACTGATGTTATCCGTGGCTAGTAATTGCACGTGCAGTTTGAAGAGAACTTAAAATCAGTGTCATCTTCGGATTATCCGGCAGTGCTGGGATAGGCAACCATCATACACGTAAACTTAAATTTTTATTTTACTTTTATTATTTTTTTACCTACGTGACTTTACCGAAAAAACCTAAAAATATGAAACTTACATTTTTATTTTACTTTTATTAATTTTAATTTTTTACCTACGTGACTTTACCGAAAAAACCTAAGAATATGAAACTTAAACCCCTTAATCCGTATCGTTTGACTGCACTTCCATGCTCACGCACATGGTGTGGATTTGACTTCCGACTACTGTAATTAAAGACATTACTGTGTGTCCCCATGTTTGCCGCTGGACGGGAGGTGCTGGGCGAGGCTTGGTGACGTCACAACAACGGCTTGGTGACGTCACAACAACACGTGACGCGTCACGTGGTTTTTTTTTGTGGGGGTGCCCACCATTTGGCGTGTTCATCCAGCAGCTGATTGAGAAAGGAATATCTTCGAAATGGCTGACGATGTTACAGCAAAGCAGCAAGGTAGATGAGCCTGAAAGACGTCCAAATAAGGCGTTTGTGAGTCATTTTGAACTCCATTCAGCTCTCCAAGCTTCGTCGGGAAGTTAAACTCGCATTGTTGAAGGCTTAAAGCGCATGGCTCCAAAAAAGAAGGCTTCGCGTGACGACTTCCAGCGACAGCGCTGGACGTTATTATTAAGGCGCTTGATGAATGGGAAGACGACTGCTCGGGTTTGTGGCGATGGTGGTAAATTGGTCGTCTTAGTGCTTATAAGAGGAAAGGGTGTGCTCTGACGTTGCGTCTGGCCGGTTAGCTCAGTTGGTTAGAGCGTGGTGCTAATAACGCCAAGGTCGCGGGTTCGATCCCCGTACGGGCCACGAATGTTTTTATTTTGTTTAGAGGTTTTCAAGAGTGACTTCGAGCGTATGTTTTGTTCGTGCAATCGTTTTCACATTGTATGTGTGTATTATTATTTTTGCAATCGCAAACAAAATGGTTTGCGTACTGACCGATCGGTAACACTATTGCGTTATGTTGGTAGTTATATGAGGTATGGTTAGCTCTTGCAAAAGTGTGCGGGGGATTAGCTCAGATGGTAGAGCGCTCGCTTAGCATGCGAGAGGTAACGGGATCGATGCCCGTATCCTCCAAAGGCCAATATTTTTTTTACACAATTTTATTTGTCACCCCAAACATTAACGTTTTCACTTAACATGTTTAACCTACTTCATTAATGATGATTACCGATTGTCTTAAAGCAAGCTCATTGTTACATTTTGTCTACGTTTTAATTGTGCATTTGACCGGCCCTCCACGTTATCGTTCAGTTTCCACAGACGGACACAAGGAGGCGCTAGCAGACAGAGCCACGAGGAAGCCCCCAGTATGCCTCCCGTCTCTCATTGCGATTTCATTCATTGTTTTTTTTATACGCTTTTATTTAACTCACTCTGTCTGTTGTTGTTGTTCTTCTTGTTGTTGTCGTTGTTGTATCCTCAAATCGTGTAACTAAATTTTAACCCACTTCCCAATGTGGAATCGACTGCAAACTTGGTATACGTATATCATACTGATGACAATACTATATTCTATCATAAAACATTTTTTAAAGTTTAAAGATCTTTTTACACGCTTTCTATTAACTCACTCTGTTGTCGTTGTTGTATCCTCAAATATTGTAACTCAATTTTAACCCACTTCCCAATGTGGTACCGACTGCAAACTTGGTATACTTACGTCATACGGATGACAATACTATATTATATCAAAAAAAATACAAATTGTTTTTTTTATATGTTATGTTTCGGCTTGGGTCTAATTGTCCACGCTCAACTGACGTTGGCTGTAATTGGCCACGATGGCAAGCTTCGGGGCCACTTCCTGGAGTCGTGGAGTTCTTCCATTACGAGTACATTTCATAAAAGCGTGTTTTTAAAAAAGTTTTTTTTTAATATGACTTACTTTCAAAGATACATGATTACTTTTCACATTGTGGTGAACGTAGCGGCCTCTAGTGGCCGGAGTAGTCGCGCGAATCCATTGCGTACAACATACGAGGCGAAATAAAATTGATTCTGGCACGTACCGGAGTGTAAGACGCTGCGTCTTACACTCCGTCTTAGACGCACACCTCCCCCCAACTGTTGCTTATAAAATACCGGCAAGGTGATGCGTCTTATAATCCGGTTAATTCGTAAATATCGATTCTCAAATGAATATCGATCATCAAATCTTCAAACCGCCTGTGTGCGATTAACACATATTTTTTATTTTATTTTATTTCCCTTCTACGTGACTTTACCGAAAGAACCAAGAATATACATCCACATCCGTTTAGGGGCCGTCCATAAATGACGTCACGCACCTGGGGAGGGGGGTCAGACATTTGTGACGACGGGGGGGGGGGGGTGAGAAATGTGACGTCACGTAAAAATGCGCAACTTTAAATAAATATAGACAACACGTTCTACTTAATTAAATAGACTTTTTTAATAAATGTTTTCTCAACATCAGAGTGCAGCGCCACATTCCCGGAGCTTTACCCCAGATACGCCCCTTCATAATAAGTCATCATGTAATGCAGCTATAACCGTAATTACCCCAGCAGACCGGCAGGTGTCACCCTGTCATTACGTATGTAAAAACTGGTCATCAGAAAACACGTCTGGAATGTAATTCTCATCAGGCCCCATGGTATTAACAAGGGCAGTCTCCAACTGTTTGGGCTCTCCGTTGATGTACTATGAAGTAGGACCATTGTCCGAAACGTCACCTACCATATAAATACTTCTTAAATATGTTTTTTATTTAAAGCTTTCGTGACTGCAGGGATTCATATTCTTGGTTCTTTCGGTAAAGTCACGTAGAAGGGAAATAATAAAATAATATAAATATAAAACAATACAAATTCTCACGACGTTTCGACTGCAACACAAGCAATCATCATCAGGTGTGAAATCCACAGCAATAAATTTTCTTAAATTATTTAAAGGCAACGTTTTTGACGAAGTGTGTTGAGTTTTGTTTCGTAATAATTGATGTTTTAAAAACGTCTAATAGGCTACGTTTCACGTGCCAGCCGCTAGAAGCCGCTAGTTCGAGATCAAAACATTTCCACAGCGGCGCGTGTTGCTGATGGCTACTGGTTGGTGGTGGTGGTTGTTGTTGTGAAAAAAATTCACGGCCATGTAACAAGAGCTGGGTGGGAGTGTCAACCCCCTATGTTTGTTCCCCAGGATGAGATTGTGTAACCACTGAAGCCATCCCCTTCCACGGCCAAACAGCCCAACAGCTGATCCTTCACCACCCACCCACCCATATTCCATCTCGGTCTATTTTGGTTCCAGCATCAGAGCCTCAGAGAGAGAGAGAGGCCGGATACACTCACTCACTCTGTGGCGCAGTCCGTTTTGTTTTATTGGTTGAGTTTATATATGTGTACTGTATATAATTGTGTACGTGATTTTGGCGTGAAGTGATATCAAATTGTTAAGGATATTGCCAGTTTGTGAGTCACCGCATTCAACATAATATGGATCGTGCGTAATGCTTGCAGAGTGAACTTCGAGTTCTGAGAGCAGATTGACCTTAAAGAGGTATGTATGTCATTCCGTTTGCACTGTCACTACTTGCACCTTAAATGTCACGTCAAGCAGTAAAACACTTCACGAGACTTTACTCTTAACTGATGTATAAATATCACTGTACATGTACAGCCCTTTGTCAGTCCACTGCTGGATGAGGGCCTCTAGGATGGGGGGTCATGCAGGGTCCCTTGACCATACTTCACCACGCTGGTCATTGCGGGTAGATTCATCCACCCATGTTAGGACTTGGTCGACCGGACACTGTTTCGTCGCATCCACTGTGCTCTGCCACCACCCTGCAGGTCACAATACTTATTTGGAACTGATGTTCGTGTTGAGTTTGTTGTCCTTCCCCCGCACGTTCAGATTAGCGCGGTTGGCTACGTACGGTGCGAAAAAAGTTCAACGTGCATACGTGTCTTTCTGCAACCCAAGGTGGCTCTTACAAATCTAAGACTGACTGGCCTCTTGATGAAGTATGTTTCCTCTTACCCCACAGTCTGGAGATGCAGGCAGGAGGGGGCAGCACGGGCAGTGTGAAGGAGAGATGCAAGAGACTGAGCGAGCGGTCGGGAGCAGGAGAGAAGCCAGCCTTGCGTGGAGTGGTAACCCACACAGCAAACGAAGGGATTTGTTCCCGATATTCGGATTAGTCCTAAATGTGGAGCGTACATCGGCCGAGACGATTTTTTTGTCACCTGTATGACCTCACGTGCGTGATTTTCCTATCAAAAGTGGTGCCACGTGCGACCGGGTGACGTCACTATTGTTAGCAAGGAGACTTACATTAGTACATATTGTGAATTATCCGAAAATCAAAAAACATTTGAAAAATTGCCCTTAAAAATTCAACCATCCAAAATCCTAAATTCAACCATAATACACATGTATGCATCAGTGAAAACATTACTTATCGCACTTTGCCGATCCACTGCTGGATGAAGGCCTGCCATGCCACATTGGTGATCGGGGATGTGACATCACGGCACTGGTCAGTGTTGATGAAGCGGTGGGGGGTGGTGGAGGGGTGAGGGCAGGTATGAGTCAAAACCTCACAAAGCACTTGTGAATGCTGGCAACTAAATTAAGCGGCTTATTATAATAAAGGTGACATTCTGATTGATGATGGTGTTGACATGTTACTTCTCATTTTGCCGACCACAATAACCCTATAAACAATGCTGCTGCTGATGGTGATGACGAGCCGGGCATGTGGCTGCCTGTCATCCAGCACTGTGGAGACAGCAGCGAGGGTTGGGGGGGGTTCATCGCACAGCGGTTGTGAAACTCCCTTCATACGGGCATCGAGGTGCCATACCCTAGCTCGCCAGGAGAAAGCGGTGCAGAAAAAAAAATGTGGACTCCTCCTATCCCGTCTGTTTGGAATAGAGCGTTTCCCCCTGGCATGCGTGGGTTTTTCCGGACACTCCGGTTTTCTACCACATGTAAATTACTCAATGATTAGACAATAACACCTTGATATTTAGACGGCAGAGCTTGGAAGTGCCCGCTCATCGTGTGGCTGTTGCGGTCTTCTCCGCTCGTCTTGTGGTTCCTCCTCGCGCATCTTGAGTCATCATCTCTCGGCAAGTGGACCAATCGCCACCTGTACGGGGATAGAGTGTTGCCCCCTCGCTTGTGTGGGTTCTCATCGGGAGCTCCGGTTTCCTCCCCGAAGAAAAAATTGACAAAAAATATTTATCAGTAACAAAAATATAAACGATACAATCCCTGACCCCCCCCCCCCACCCCTTGCCCAGCGCTCGACCGCGGGTCGCGTTCTGCGCTTGCGAGCCGCCGTGGCGTGCGACGACGTGGTCTCGGCTCGCCGGTTGCTGCGGGAGATCATCGGCTCCAGCGTGGACGAGACTCCCGGATCGACGGCCGCTCCCGCTCCCGTCGCCAACGCTGACCTCCAGGGGAACTCCCACGGCTGGGCCACGGTCGCCCAGGTGCGCGACCGCAACGGCTGGACGCTGCTTCACCTCGCCACGGTGCGCGGGAGCGAGGGATGCGTGCGGCTGCTCCTGCAACACGGAGGTCAGAGATGCCATTGACATGTGCCGCGCACTGGAACGTGCCAACGTGTGTTTCCATTGCAGGGAATTACCGTATTCTCCTTAATTGATACGATATTTTTTGTATCCCGGGGGAAGGAGCGAGTAAGCTCAAAGGTCACCCCTGGTTGGGCGGGAGGGGGCGGAGATATAGGAATGGCACAACAGATGTTGTCAGTGATACAACAAAACGGCATCATAACGACAAAGGACCATATAAACAATCGAACACGTGCGAACGCATTTGCAGCAGCAACTCTTCAAGGTGAATAACATTCACTGCAATGCAATTATGAACTTTAATTACTGTATGCATCCTACACTACATGCCAGTGAACATGAGCTGGCACTGCTGACATCCAGCAGAGTTCGAATCGAGGTCTAGTCACTCTGTGATGTTTAATTCATTCAGCCCACTCACACAAAACAATTAAAGCCCATCATATTGCGTGTTTTCGGTTAATCTGGGTTCTGTGACTAAACAAGTTGTGACAATCAGCTCTGGAGGTGGGCATGGGTGTTGATGCACCACCTAATGTGGATAAGAAGCAATTGGAGTAACCTCAGAAGTAGTCTGTGATGCCATCTTCCAGAGGCCATTCTCTAACACGGAGCACTGTTACACTGCATCTCGTAACGCGATGTCAATAGAAGCCAAATATGAATAGAATTACAGGACACATGCATACAATAGACTGTCCGTCCTGGACTGCCAAAGAGTGCCATCCCAGTGATCATCGTTAGAATATTATTGAAAAAGCCGATTAAAAGTATAATCACAGCCCCCCCCCACCACCTAATCGGTGGCACGTGACTCGCTGTCTGTGGGCCCCCCAGTTGACCCGTGGGACGGCGATCAGGAAGGCGGCTTCACCGCATTGCACTACGCTGCCATGGGTGGGCGCGGCACGGTGGCGCGCATCCTGCTGCAGTCACCGGCAGCGGCGGCGGCGGCACCGGGGAGTGCCCCAACTCATGTGGCTGCACCGCCAGTGACCCAGCCGGAGATTGAGTCTCCATCAGAAGCCCACTTAATCGCCGACGCTCCATCAGAGACCCACATGGAGATCGAATCTCCATCGGAAGCCCAACCGGAGCACGTGGCTCCATCGGAGACCCAAATTATCGCTTCGATTCCGTCGGGAATCAATGCTCGCGGCGCAGGGAAACCCCCACTGGGGTCTGGACCGGGATCAGCTGGGGTGGACCGGCGGCTGGGGTTGGTGGCCGCACGCAGCAGAGATGGATGGACTCCGCTGCACGTGGCGGCCAGCTACGGGCATGATCACGTGTTGCGATTGCTGCTTAACTACGGGGTACGTCTGCGTGTCCTTGTGTGTGTGTGTGTGTCTGTGGAAAGGTTTTTTCATGGTGACGGCATTGCTGGTGGTGGTCGTGTGACTATTGATGATGCAATGTTGATGATGTTGATGATGTTGAAGAGGGAAGTGCTGCTGGTGGTCGTATGCCTATTTATGATGAAATGTTGATGATGTTGAAGAGGGAAGTGCTGGTGGTGGTCGTGTGGCTATTGATGATGATGATGGCATTGCTGGTGGTGGTCGTGTGGATATTTGACGATGACGATCATGAAAACGGCAGTGCTGGTGATGGTCGTGTGGCTATTGATGATGCAATGTTGATGATGTTGAAGAGGCAATTATTTGACGACGGCGGCACGGCAGGCGGACGTGGACGCGCAGAACGGGAAGGGGCTGAGCGCGCTCGTCTTGGCCGTGATGCGCGAGCGCGAGAGCTGCGTGCGCGCGCTGCTGGATTGCCGTGCCGACATCCGCGCCAACCACGACCTAGCGCTCTTCTCCGCCGTGCTCCGGGGCAGCGACACCATCTGCCGCCTCCTGCTGCAGGTGCCACGCTCACCGGGGGGTGGTTGATGGTGGCGGCGATGTTGGTGGTGGTGATGTTGGTGGTGGTGGTGATGGTGGGGGAGGTGGTGACGATGATGGGGGAGGTGACGGTGGCAATGGTGGGGGAGGTGGTGGCAATGATGGTGGGGTAGTTGGTGGTGGTGGCGATGGTGGTGGTGGTGATGGTGGTGTTGGCGATGGTGGGGAAGCGATGGTAGTGGAGGAGGTAGTGGCTGTGGTGGTGGGGTAGATGGTGGTCGTGCTGGTGGTGGGGAGAGGTGGCACAGTGGTGAGCACTCCGCATTACAAACCCGGCGACCAACAAGAATGGAAAATATTTGTTACAGGTCCTGGGCCTCCCCTAGCTCGACTCAGCCTCAAATGAGCACCTGGTGCGATGTGTGTATAACGTCAGCATTGGGGAGACAAAGGCGGCCGGGCGTGGTGCTGGCCATCTCACCCTGTCGTGTGCCGTATTGGCCTTCACGGGTGCTACTCGCCAACAGCACTTGCCCCAACAATCTGCTCAAGGCTCTACGGGGGGGGGTCCCCCCGATCTTTGTGTTTGTAGAGAGGCGCGGACCCACGTGCGAGCCGGCCCTGCGACGGCCTCACGCCGCTCCACGTGGCCGCCCTGCGGGACGACGCGGCGTGCTCGCGCCTCCTGCATGCCCACGGGGCCCACGCGGGGACCCCCAACGCCGCCGGCGTCTCGGCCTTCTCCGTGTGCGCCCGGCGCGCGCGGTCCGGCAGCCCCTGCCTGCAGTTCCTGCGACAAGCGGCATGTACGATTCCCCACCACCCCCCCCCCCCGGCTCCTACCACCCGGCCATGGGAATGTGGAATTTCAAACATTTCCGTGGCATCGGATTTGGGAATGAGAATTGGGACGATGTAAATACATCTGTAGCCGTGTGGCAGCTTGAGATTTTTTGTTTCAGTTCAAGCACTTGATCAATGCTGCTGCTCATGACAATGCTGCTGCCAATACTCCTTTTGCTGCTCATGATGATTGTCGTGAAGCTGCTGCTGCTGCTGATGTCGATGAAGCTACTGCTGATGATGAAGCTGTTAATGCTGCTGCTGATGGCCGATGACGATGATGCTTCTGCTGCCGATGCTGCTGCTGACGATGAAGCTGACGAAGCTGCTGATGCTTCTGCTGCTGATGATGCTGCTGCTGCTGATGATGATGAAGCTGACGAAGCTGCTGATGCTTCTGCTGCTGATGATGCTGCTGCTGATGATGATGATCAAGCTGACGAAGCTGCTGATGCTTCTGCTGCTGATGATGATGAAGCTGATGAAGCTGCTGATTCTTCTGCTGCTGATGATTCTGATGATGATGAAGCTGACGAAGCTGCTGATGCTTCTGCTGCTGATGATGCTGCTGCTGATGATGATAAAGCTGACGAAGCTGCTTATGCTTCTGCTGCTGATGATGATGATAAAGCTGACGAAGCTGCTGATGATGATGAATCTGACGATGCTGCTGATGCTTCTGCTGCTGATGATGATGAATCTGACGAAACTGCTGATGCTTCTGCTGCTGCTGACGACGAAGCTGCATGCTGCTGACATCCCACACGCGCGGTGTCTCTCTGTCCCTCCGTCTCCCTCCCCAACGACGCCGATCGCAGGCCGACCGCGCTCGCTGCTCGAGTGCAGCCGCGCGGCGGTGCGGCGGGCGGCGTGGCGCGCGGGGGCGCTGCCTCGCCTCGGGGAGCTGCCGCTGCCCCCCACGATGCTCCGCTACGTCCTCTTCAGAGGCATCGACCTCAGCGACGGCGACTTCCGCGACGAGGAAGCGCCGAGGCACGCCGGCGGCGGCGGCGGTGATGCGGGGCCGAGCAACCTGCCCCGCAGCCCGCTAGCGAACGGTGGTGGCCAGACGCGGCAGCAGCAGCAACAACAACAGCACTAGCTGTGATAGCAGCTGTGATAGCACCAGCTGTGATAGCAGCAGCTGTGATAGCAGCACTAGCTGTGATAACACCAGCTGTGATAGCAGCAGCACCAGCTGTGATAGCAACAGCTGTGATAGCAACAGCTGTAATAGCAGCACCAGCTGTAATCGCACCAGCTGTGATAGCACCAGCTGTGATAGCAACAGCTGTGATAGCAACAGCTGTGATAGCAACAGCTGTAATAGCAGCACCAGCTGTGATCGCACCAGCTGTGATAGCAACAGCTGTGATAGCACCAGCTGTGATAGCACCAGCTGTGATAGCAACAGCTGTAATAGCAGCACCAGCTGTGATCGCACCAGCTGTGATAGCACCAGCTGTGATAGCAGCAGCTGTGATAGAAGCAGCTGTGATAACACCAGTAGAAGCACCAGCTGTGATAGTACCAGCTGTGATAGCAACAGCTGTGATAGCACCAGCTGTGATAGCACTAGCTGTAATAGCAGCAGTAGAAGCACCAGCTGTTATAGCAGCAGCACTAGCTTTAATAGCAGTATCAGCACCAGCTGCGATAGCAGCAACAGAAGCTGTAATAGCAGCAGCAGCAGTCGTAGCACCAGCTGTAATAGCAGCAGCAGAATCTGTAATAGAAACAGCAGCAACAACAGCATCAGCTGTAATCCCACCAGCATCAGCTGTGATAGCACCGGCACCAGCTGCAATGAGGGCCCGATTAAGGTTCTTGTACTTCTGTTTTCGTAGGTACTGCCGCCCCTACGGTTCTGATGCCCCATGACACTACTACCGGCACTGTCACTCGCTTGTTTCAGGCGTACTTCGTCCAGCCGCTGGACAGATGTCGTTACTGCTGATACATCCATCGGTTAGTCTGTGCCCTGATTCGACGGGAGCGCGCTGTGTGCCGCAGATAAGCGGATTTGGTTTGAGATTATTGAGAGAGAAAAAAGGTACGCCTAAATATATGAGAGAACATTTCTTCAACTGTTTTACTGTGCTTATCATATCGGATGACGCGGCTTTAAAAGGATGCCGTTCATTTTCATCGATAACAAATTGAATGTTCTGACAGAATGACCACGTGGCGAGCACCGTATTGCTTTGCTTTCGTTTAAGCTGAAAGATGTTGGTTATTTTAGGTGTAATATGCCTCGCCTACAAGTCAACGACTTGTTACCACTGCGAAGAAATGACAACGAGCAGCCATAAAACACACACATACCTATTCAAGAAGATAAATTGGTGACAAAAAATGCATCATACAAACAACAACATGGTCAAAATGGTTTTTTTTTCGTAGGCCCTAGGCACAGTGCCTATTGTGCTTATTCGATAAAACAGCCCTGGCTGTAATAGCACCAGTAGCAGTAGCAGCAACAATAGCACGAACTGCAATAGCAGAAGCTGTAATAGCATCAGCAATAGCAGCAACGTCACAAAGCTCTGCCCCCCCCCCCAAACAAAAAAAACATGCTTCAAATCGCTTTATACTATTGTCATTGTAGTCTGTATTTAATGTGGCGCTGCACTCTGATGTTGTAGTAGAAAACATGTATTAAAAAGTATATTTAATTAAGCAGAACGTGTTGTCTACATTTATTTAAAGTTGCGCATTTTGATGTGACGTCACATTTCTCACCCCCCCCCCGCTCGTCACACATCGTCACAAATGTCTGACCCCCCCCCCCCCCCAGGTGCGTGACGTCATTTATGGACGGCCCCTGAGCATCAAACACGAGTAACGCAACCGAGAGCGCCCTATGCTGCTCTTTATCGGCTTTAGCGTCCGTCAGTCAACCTGTACGGGAGGCAAATTGCTTGGTTCACAGGTGATGATTTATATATGTTGAACGTGAGACTTCATGCAGTGAGGACGATTCAGCCGTGAAACCAATCAACCTCCTGACCAGACATATATAAACACTTCGATTTTGTGAGCAGCCAAAGATAATAGGCCTGGATGACGTTAATGCCACTCAATCAACAAAAACTCAACGCAGTGTCCTTCTTCACATCTCATAAATAAAGGGCGGGCAGAGTGGACACTAACAATCGGAAGCTGCACTTTACACCATGGGGCCGAACGATAATTACTGGACATCTGTGAAAAAAGAGCTTTATAGCGCATTGGATTCCTCCGGTATAAATAAAGATTGTGATTCTGAAAGATTATCAATAAAAATTTTAAAGTGTTTTTCTGATGACAAGTTCTTTTTGTTTATAATCCTGAGAATAAGGTAATTGCGACTCTCAGTACAGTTACAGACTGTGCGGAAAGTCGCTCTACCCCTTGACATCTGAGAGCACATGCAAGCAGCGTATTAAGACAGATTGAGGGACTTTATCGCCCACCTAAAACTGGAGGTGCATACGAGCGAGCGCACAGGCACATACAAATAAACGTCGCCCCCCTTTGCATCCCTCCTCCCTTACTCTTATCCTATAACACATTCCTGCGGAGGGAGCTGGTAGGAACGTTGGGTTGCTCGGTCAATGGCCAGGGTCAACGGCGGCGTGGTGTATTCCGCAAATATGGCCGACTGTGAGGGCGGGCACAAGCCGGCGTGAGTAGGTTAAACGTTGAGTTTTATAAGGGCACCACGGGGTGACCAGCCCCTCCCCACCCACCCCCACCCAGCCCCACCCCTCCCACCAACCACCCAGCCCAACCCTCACCCCCCAGCCCCCCACCCTCCCCACCCAGCCTCTCCCGTCCTCCCCACCCAGCCCCTCCCCACCCAGCCCTCCCCTCCCCACCCAGCCCCTCCCTCCCCACCCAGCCCCTCCCTGCACGACCGACGGACGGACACAATAATCCCCTATGGGCTGGTGTAACCAGGAGGTTCCTACCAGTATAATCGCTTGTCACATACAGCTCGCTCTGCCCACGACAGTAAAAAAAATGTTGCTGGGGTTGTCCCACCTGATGACGGAAGCTTGTGTTGCCTCTGCAACGTCGTGATTAAGTTATTTTATTTTCACCTACGTGACTTTACCGAAAGAACCAAAGAGTATGGATCCTTGCAGTCACTAAAACATCAAATCTAATACAAACTAGGGTTGCCACCTGCCCGAATTTCACCCGGACAGGTTACAGCCGGACAAGTGGAAACCCGGTTCAACCCGGACAGTCCGGGAATTGGCATCCGTTGTTCCGGTGGCAGGGATTGGGTTCTACTAAGGGGCCGTCCATAAATTACGTCACGCACCTAGGGGCGGCGGGTCAGACATTTGTGACGATGCGTGACGAGGAGGAGGGGTTTGATAAATGTGACGTCACGTAAAAATGCGCAACTTTAAATAAATATAGACAACACGTTCTACTTAATTAAATCGACTTATTAATAAATGTTTTCTCCTACAATATCATAGTGCAGCGGCACATTAAATACGCACTACAATGACAATAGTTTAAAGCGATTTGAAGCATGTTATATTTTGGGGGGAGGGCAGAGCTTTGTGACGTCATATTTGAGGAGGGGTCTGACTTTTTGTGACGCCGTGTGACGAGGGGGGGGGGGTCAAAAATCGTCCAAAATCGCGTGACGTCATTTATGGACGGCCCCTAAGATCTGGTGGCATCATGTTGAACTGTTACAATATGGACGTATTGACGGTACTCAGCATAACACACCGGTCCTCATAAGCCTTGGGCACGAGTCAAATCAGCATTTGGATGACTTGAGCAGCCAATCATCATCAGGCTGGGTGCTGCGATACGGCAACAGACTGTGAAGCTTCGTGTTCAGCTGCCCGTAACGTTCGTCTTCTGACTGCTTCGACATCACGGGAACCGATTTTGACGCACCACCCACACCCCACAAGATTCCCTGACCGGGGGATTGCGAATCACGGGAAGAAAAAAAAAATCGTGAACATTTGGCACATTTTTTTTTAGACCGGTGTACTGCCAATGCATATTCTTAGGTTTTTTTCGGTAAAGTCACGTAGGTAAAAAAATTTAAAATTAATAAAAGTAAAATAAAAATAAAATAAAAATCACGACGTTTCGGAGGCAACACAAGCCTCCGTCTTCAGGTAGAACTGTCACAGCATGATAGCTGTATCAATGAAGACGGAGGCTTGTGTTGCCTCCGAAACGTCGTGATTTTTATTTTATTTTTTATTTTACTTTTAGTATTTTTTTTTACCTACGTGACTTTACCGAAAAAACCTAAGAATATGAATCCTTGCAGTCACGAAAGCTTCAAATCTAGAATTACTGCCAATACGTTCATATACAGTCCTGCAAGTTAACGATAACACACCTAGTACTTGATAACAAGACAACGCCTATCGTACGCAATTGTGATCCTGAGATAATAATGGTTATTGACACCAAAAAATATCATTTTTCGATTTAAAGCTTTCGTGACTGCAGGGATTCATCTTCTTGGTTCTTTCGGTAAAGTCATGTAGAAGGGAAATAATAAAATAATAAAAATAAAACATAATAAAATAATATAATAATATAAAAACATTTCTTTTGTTTTATTTTTATTACTTTATTATTTCCCTTCTACGTGACTTTACCGAAAGAACCAAGAAGAAAAAATGTCATTGTTTAGAATATGCCACTCGAAGTGGTTATCCCATTGGTTTGGGGTCATGACCCCATGGTGGGCTGGCTCACGCCTGCTGTGCCACTGATGCGACTCGGAGGGGAGCGCCGCTCTTTATTCAGAGCAGCAAGATGCACAAGGGGAATAAGTCACAAGATGTCGACGTTGAGTCACATATTCACTTTAAGATGTTTTTTCTTCATGTTTTTGTTTTTTTCATAATCAACGTTTTTGGGTTTAGATCGCGTTATTTATGAATGTGTCGTAACCCTCCACCACCCGATGATGCTGGATGCAATTACCAGCGAAACGTCGTACTCAAATTGTAAATGTTGTGGTTTCACGCTTCAACACACCGGTGGGCTAAAGCAGTGAACTATTTGTCTTTTGTCAACGTGACACTTTTTTACTGATTGGCCGTGTCGGGTGGTGGAGGGTTACGACACATTTATAAATATCGCGATCTAACCCAAAAACGTTGATTATGAATAATATTGGTCGCGAAAGCGTAAGTGTTAAACCTTTTAGTTTTTTGCTTGTTGCGGTTGCACCCGATTCAAGAGCCGAATGGCTCACAGGGCTATACCTAATAAATGAGCTTGAACTTGAAACTTGAGTGGACGTCAGCCCGCGTTATCACAGAGCCACACGACATACATATAGCCGCTGTTCTGGCTGTAAAACAATCACCAACAAACTGGCAGGCCAGTCCAATGACGGAGCCTTACATTTTCTTAGATATATCCTGAGCGATATTCAATGGGGGGACCTCACTGTAGAAATATAATAAAATCGTTACAAACAATTTTTTTAATACATGTTTATAAAAGGAAACAGAAGCTTAATATTGTATATTGTAGATATGGGCTCAGCCTATTGTAGGTTTGACCAGCAGAGTTCGGCAATTGGCATCTGAGTTCGGCTGGCGCCACATTTTTTGTACCAAGATGTGCTGTCGATGTTGTGTTGAACTATATTGCACTCGCCCGTTTAGCCAGTCAGGGCTCGGCACGGCAACCTGCCAGTAGGAAAAAATCACCCATACCGCGTACCGTGAGGTCTCCGCGTGGGTTCGGCTCAGGGTTGTTACGGTGGTGAGATGTTAACTACCTCGCCTGGCATACAGGAGGTCGTGGGTTCGATCCCAACCCTGATTCCTGCTGCTGTATATTTGGAGTTCGCATGTTCTCCCCGTAGTCGTGTGTATTTTTTCTCCGGGATCTCTGTTTTTTTTCCTCTACATTTGGAAACGTGCGTCAAGAGTATTTGGCGACTGCTATAAATTTCCACATAACCAACTTCATTGGGCTGGGCTATCATTTGTGGCCAGGTCGCTAAAATAAAATGTGTCAGTGGGAAAATGAGCATCGCTATCTCACCTGGATTACACTCTGGGGATAGAGCAGTGCTTCTGTGGTTAGCACACTGCATAGTGGATTGGAAAAGGGCATTGCCTTTCCCTATATACAGCAACTCCCAGCCTCCAAATCGTCTTCTCTTGCAGAGTGCATTTGAATACGGTCGTTGACAAGTGAGTGACGATGCCTGCAAGTTGAATTGAACTCACATACGCAAATTCATACATGAACTCCTCTACTTATAAACAAGTTAGGTTCCCAGAGGCCTGTTCGTAAGTCGATTTGTTCGTAAGTCTAACTTTACTTCTGTCAATTTCAAACACGTTGTACGGCATGTACACTATACATGGGGAATGGCTTTAAAAGTTGTATAAGCTCCTGTAGATTTAGATGCCACTGGTTCTTCACGTTCTGCAGATGTAGATGCCACTGGTTCTTCACGTTCTGCCATCTATTGCGCGGCGGTTGAGCTTACAACTCTCGGTTCGAACAGGCAACTGGACATACTGAGATATTTGGTCGTATCTCTAAATGTTTGTAATTCGACTGTTCGTAAGTAGAGGAGTCCCTATATACCAAGAAGAATATATCAATAATGCAGGGGTTTTGTTTGGGTTAG